TTGTAGTTCGCAGCTTGCCGGCGCTCTTCGGAGGGGATTGTTTGGGCGGCGAGGGCGATCGGTGGAAGGGCGAATGGTGATGATGCTGTTTGCGCGGCGGGAAAAGAGGCTCGACTGACATAGGTCGAGGGGCCGGCGAGACGTTGCGAGAATGGGAGGCTAGGGCGGCGCCCATTATGGCGCTCGACAGAGACTCGCCAGTCATGTGCTGCGTGATCTGCTTGACAGATTCTCGCTGGTAGTTGTTATGGTACACTGAAGGCGACCCTGTTCTGTTGGCTGACATTGGTCGACGCGGAGGCGAAAGCTTCTGTAGTGGAGCCATCGAGGCTGGGTTCTGGCTCTGAGTGCGAGGCTTGATCTGTATCGGGGCTGAAGGCTGGAGTTTGTTCGCAGCTGGCGCAGGTTCGGTCTTGCGCGCAGTCGATCGTCGCGGTGGAGGCAGAGCAGGTCTAGGCTTCTCGTCCTCCTCCTGGTCTTCTTTGGCTGACTTGAAAGATGTGGGAGTCGACGGTGACTGATAGCTTTCTACAGACGCAGACACTCTGCGGCGCTGTAAGGACGATGACTGCGTTGTGTCCTCCGACTTGGGCCGTGTTTGCCGCGAACCTCTCCGCTGCGGCTTTGAAGGTGGGGACGTGGATGTGTTGATTGCTGCCAACTGCACCGGCTTCTGTTTGATTGGGGGAGACTTCAGAGGGTCCTTCTTGGGTGTATTGAAGTATGCCTGGTCGCTGCTGCCATCAGCATATTGTGGAGGCAGCTGGAGCTTGTGCTTCGGTTTCGGCTTGACGGGCGGCGGTGTCTGCGTTCTGACTCTCTGCAGCGGTGCATCATCTTTCGGCTCGGGAGGCAGTTTGAACGCACGTTGTGGCTTGGGCGATTTCACAGGGGGTGGTGAATTCTGCGCAACGCGTATCGGTGCGGAAGGCTGCTTCGTGGGTGTGCTGGGTCGCGCCTGCTCAAACATCTTCACGAGCGAGTTGGTAGGCGGTATGGGCGTCTCGTCGGTAGCTTTGTGTTGTGGCTCTGGTCGTCGGGCATTGCGCGCCGCTGCAGGTGACTCTAGGCTGTCTCTCCTCTTCCGCGACTGTTGCGTGGGCTTCTGAGACTCCAGTCTCGCAAGCACATTCCCTACGCTGCCCGAGGGAGGCAGTGCATCCCGCTCGTTTGGCTGCTGTTCGCTCATGGTGGGCGGAACAACGGCCTTGGCCTGGGGTATAGGCCTCAGAGGGCTGTGTCGAGCTGCCGCAAGCCGTGCCGCGATATTCGAGGGCGACGAGACGCGGTCGGGGTGATCGTCAGGCACGCTCAGCGATGCCGTGCTGTTCGAATGGGATAGGTTCGGCTTACTGACGCCTACGGAACCACCGGTATGGTCCCTCCGCAAGGATGCCGGATTGCCTGTGCCGACTTTGGTTGCAGCGAGCAAAGCCCCATTGTCTCCCCCAGTATACGTGTTCACCAAAGGCTTCGGTTTCGCGGGAGGTTTGGAGAAGGCTCGAGCGGCACCTTGTAGCGCAGCATCGCGTACATTGTGTTGGGTGTCGCCGGTCGACTGCGGGACCCAGCCCTGCTTACGTGCAGCGCTCATTTACGGTCCATTGGATGGTGAGTAATAATGACGTATACGGACAATTAGGGGACAGTAGTGCGGTTGGAAAAGGTGTTTTGGCGCGACATGAAAGCAAAGAAACGAAGGACTAAAGGGAAAACGAGTGTTGTGGAGTCGCAATTCCCCCAGTTTCCAAGATTAGTATCGTCAGCCTTGTGAATCACGGCGTAGGTACCCACTGGCATGGGTGACGCCTTGGGAGATGCGCTAGCTCGTTGCAGCCTGACAGCCACGTGATCACGCGTAATGCGGCTTCCAGGCAACCACCACGACCCTGCCTTCATATACAAACAAGCGCTACACCCATCATCTCACGCCTCCAATGCACCCAAAATGGCCGAAGATATACCAATGCCGGATCAGGAGGCGGTTAGAGAGAACACGCTCATGTACGGTCATGACGATGAGCTCGACGACAAGTACCCTACCCGGCCGCTGAACCTCCACAAGACGCCCCGCTTCCATACTTTGTTCACGGACCTTTTCAACCCACTCATGGAAACACAGAAGAGGAAGCAACCTGTGGGAGCTCGTCGAAGAGTCGGGCCTCACGGACACTTCAACCTGTCACCCCATGAAGCGAAACGCAACATCATCGAAAGATATATTGCGAATTGGCGAAAGGAAGTTGGTCACGACTTCTACCCCGCAATGCGTCTCATGATCCCCGAAAAAGACAGAGATCGAGCCATGTACGGTCTGAAAGAGAAAGCGATTGCCAAGATTTTGATCAAGTGCACCAGCATGAAGCCCAAATCTGTTGATGCCGACCACATAACGGAATGGAAGCTACCTAGTCAGCTCAGCTCAGCTTCGAATGCATCTGCGGGCGACTTTCCTGGGCGATGTTACGATGTCTTGTCAATGCGGCAGATGAAGACCGGGTACAGCGACATGAGCATTGCCGAAGTCAACAATGCTCTGGATAAGCTGTCGCAGGTTGGCGCCGAAGAGGAGCAAGTAAAGATCTTCAAGCGGTTCTACCGAAGGATGAATGCGGAAGAGATGACCTGGCTCATCCGTATGATCCTCCGTCAGATGAAGATCGGCGCTACTGAGAAGACACTCCTCGACATCTGGCATCCGGACGCGGAGACACTGTTTAATATCTCGTCAAACCTGCGGCGAGTGTGCTGGGAGCTCTTCGATCCGGAGATTCGTTTGGAGGGCGAGAGCACTGAGCTGAGCTTGATGCAATGCTTCCAGCCACAGCTAGCTCAGTTTCAGGACAAAGTAGGTAACTTTGAGAAACTGGTGGGCCGTTTCCAAGCAAATGAGGACGATGACACGTTTTGGATTGAAGAGAAGCTCGACGGGGAGCGCATGCAGCTCCATATGATTGAAGATCCTGACGCACCCGGCGAAAGGACCTTTGGGTTCTGGTCACGTAAAGCCAAAGACTACGCATACCTCTACGGCAGACACTTCGAAGGCGACGAGGCCGGTGCACTTACACGTTTCATCAAAGACGCCTTCGGAAAGAACGTACGGAACATTATCCTTGATGGGGAGATGATTACCTGGGATATGGACAGGGACCACATCGTGGACTTTGGTACACTCAAGACGGCAGCTATATCTGAGAAAGAGAATAAAACCGACAAGGATACTGGTCAGCGGCCACTGTTTAGGGTGTTTGATTGCGTCTATCTGAACGACAAATCACTCACACAGTACACGCTACGCGATCGACGTCGCGCCCTTGAGAGTGCTGTCAAGGGGAAAAAGCGTCGTCTGGAGATCCATCCTTACATCGAGGCACGCTCGCATACCGAGATTGAACCGGAGTTACGGAAGGTCGTTGCAGAGTCATCCGAGGGTCTGGTGCTAAAGAATCCGCGCTCCATGTACCGTCTCAATCAACGGAACAACGACTGGATGAAAGTGAAGCCAGAATACATGTCAGAGTACGGCGAGTCGCTCGACTGCATTGTTGTTGGCGGATACTTTGGCACTGGGCATCGCGGTGGCGCCCACTCATCCTTCCTTTGTGCATTGCTAGAGAAGGACAAGATAGTGGCGAAGCACCCACTGTGTAAATCCTTTTTCAAGGTCGGTGGTGGTTTCACTAAGGACGAGTACGCTGAAATAAGGAGGCGCACGGAAGGTAAGTGGCATAAATGGGATCGTCGACAACCGCCTCCATTCATCGAACTGGGCGGCTACGACTATAAGCAACACGAGCGGCCAGATGAATTTATCCACCCTTGCGATTCCGTCGTCCTGGGGTGCAAAGCAGCAAGTGTCGAGAATAGTGACAAATTCCGCATGGGATACACGCTTCGCTTTCCCCGCTTCCAAAAACTCAAGAAAGATAAGCGATGGGACCAGGCGCTCTCAACACAAGAGTGGCTAGAAGTAAAGAGCCGAGCAGAGACAGAGGTGAATGAGAAGGAAAAAGAGTTCAAGATCGAGCAATCACGAAGGAAGAAAGTCAGGACAACAAAGAAGCCACTGACTGTCGTCGGCAACGATACCGTCACAACACCATACGCAGGCCCAGCATCCAAAGTCTTCGAAGGCCTCAGCTTCTTCATAATGACCGAGCAAATCTCCCCAACAAAAAAGTCCAAACCAGATCTCGAAGCCCTAGTGAAAGCCAACGGCGGCAAAATCGTTCAACGCGACTCCATGGACAGGAACCTCATCATCGTCGCAGACAAGCGACTAATCAAAGTGGCCTCGCTCGAAAAACGCGCAACGAACAACATCGTCAAGCCCGTCTGGATCCAGGATTGCATCAGGCAGAACGAGACAGATGCTACTCCCTTACCGTACCTACTCCCATTCGAGCCGAACAGGCATATGTTTTATCTCCATGACGACGATCAACTGGACTATGAGAATAATGTTGATGAGCATGGAGATTCGTATGCGCGCGATGTAGCGGATGTGGATGAGATGAGGAGGTTGCTGGAGGGGGTGTCGGTGCCGGAGGATAATGACGCGTTTGAGCGAGAGGGGTTTCTGGATCAATTGGATGATCATGGGGAGTCGTTTGCGCATCTCAAGACACATATGTTTAGTACGGTGAAAGCGGCCGTTCGAAACGATCAGGAACGACCAGATGGTATGCTGAGAGCACAGCTAGCGAGGAACTACATCCAATTCGGGGGCGGCGTGGTGACTGACGACATAAACGCGGAAGGCGTCACACATGTCGTTGTGCTGGATGAGCAATCTCCGACGAGGGACGCGAAGAACAAAATCACAGGACTTGCCAGAATCGTTGGCGTCGCCTGGGTTGAAAAGTGCTGGAAAGAGAGCACCATGGTTGACGAGGAGAGATACCAGTGGGGCTGAGCAGCGCCACAGATGGAGGATTAGTTATTACATCTCTTATGATACCACGAAGCCTTCATAGCAATCTTATTATATTCGCTTCTCAAAACGTGCTCCCACTCGTCAAACCGCGCTTCCAACCCCTCTTCGTCATCTCCCCCGTACTCGTCCTCGTCACCCTAAGCTCCCTCTTCTCCACAACGAGCGCGCCCCTACTCTGCGTCAACCGTTTCCTCAGCTCATCCTCCTCTAGGTAATTCGCCTCATTACCCAACTCCTCCCGTATCGCAGCCGAGTAATCCATAATGCTGCGCAAAAGCCCCGGCCTCCTTCCACTCCTATACATCATAGATCCGCGTCGTGTATCGAGCCACATACCGACCATGATGCAGACCCAGACGAAGTTGAATATCGATACCATGAAGAGGAAGATGTAGGAGAAGCCCCATTGGTACGTTTCGCTAGGCTTGCAAGATCCGTGGTCCAGTAAGTAATACCCCATGTAAGAGTGGTTTGCATCTGGTCTTTTCTCAAAGGCGTATTGAGATTCAGGATATTCGCTGAGCTTCTTTCCGGAGTCAAGTCCATGAAGTGTGAGGTTGAAGCTGAAGATATCCAGGCTGTAAGATGTTGACGGCGTAGATGTCTTTTCGCCGTCGAATATAAAGTCTGCCGTGATGTTGTGCAAGGTTCCATTGGTTATGCCAAAACCGTGGGCGGGGATATGCTCAACCGATATTGTTTTTCCGACTCCATCACCGAATATCTGGAAATATGACTCGTTCCAACTACTAAATTGCCCTTTGTCTATACTACGTTAGCTGAGCCTCAGAGCCACTTCCAGCATACGTACAATGGTGAATAGCATCAATCAGCGGCTGATCATCCGCTGTGACGATGAGAGGAGCTTTCAAGCCCACCCTGTCCGCGTCCTGAATGATATAAGCCACGTCCTTGGCCTTGCTCCATTCCATGAGATTACCATCGATATCTTCGATGTAAGGTTTGTAAGTCGTAATATAACCCGTCATTGCTGCCATCAGCGTTGGGAACGCGATGGCATAGAGAGTGGAAAGCAGCATCGACAAGATAGCGAGCCAACGGAAAAAACGCTTCCAGGTGCCCGCCCCATAAGCCAAGAACTCTTTTCCCAGTACGCCGAGGGTGGCCATGCTTGTTGTCTCGAAGGCTACAGCAGCGTATAATTTGTAAGACGTGTGATGCATCTCCATGTGATATACCAGCCACTCGTTGAAGACGCGGTAATTCACCCATGCCAACAAGAGCTGTCCGCCTCTTCCAATAATCAGGTCCCATGCGACATCTATGACTTTCACCTGCGTAAAGGTGAGAGCACCGAAGCTCAAATTCGGTGTAAAGAAGTAGGAGGAATCCATGATGCGCCATGTTGCTCCGGTGGCTTCTTTCCAAAGGCCGTTCGGGTAACAGTCTCGTCCCATGATGTAGCCCTGCGATACCGTTTCTGCCGCCGCAGCGAGACCGACAATGCAGGCGAGCGCAAGAGGGAGCGCCAACAAGATAACAGTTACTCGCCAAGGGAAAGGTGACCACTTCTCGGAGAATGTCGTCCTGGGATGTTTTTGAGGCCATTCGTGGGGCGATTCGGACTTGGCGTCGCTGTGGTTGTCGGCCATGGCGAGCAGTTCGGCGCTCCTTCGTGCATCGTCATCAGCGTCCTGGCGAACGGCGGAAAATTGCGTCGCAGTTTTCATTTCTGAAGCGAAGCAGTACGCGATGCATACCAAGGAAATAAATCACGAGCAGACGTGGCGAGGTCAGCCTTATCTGAGACGACTTGTAGATCGGGCGTATTTTCAGGCGCCCTGCCAGTTTGGGGATTTGCGCAAGGCGCAGCGCCCGCATTTGGGGGCCAAATAGCTACCAACGAAATGAACTTCTCTTTCCGCAAGGGCTGAGTAACTGGCGGCATGTCTCAATTAGTTGCAGTAAGTGGGTGCGATGGGTGCGTCATAGAGCTTGTTGATGAAATCGCAGCGCCGGCGACAAAGGCAGCTGCAACGATGCGATCACCTTGGAGAGCGAGCATGCTGGGCGGCTGGATGGTCCAAATGGGTTCCCATGCCTGTACGGAGACTGTTTCCTGTCAATTATGTCTCAAAAGCTGAGCATAGGCATGTGGGCTCATATGCGAGTGCCATGGCAGAGAACTTGTAAAGTCTCCAGGCATGCCCGCCAACCTGGCCCAGGGAAGGCAGACCCTCACGCCAAGGCACTAACAGCACAGTACCCACCAGCGAGACGTGAAAGTCATGAAGCTGCAAGTAACCTCCATCATTCTACGATATAACACGAAAGCATCTCTCTGAGCGATAGGCGGTCTCACCCCGGATACGCAATGAAGTATATATTGAGTTCTCGCCGGCACATAGCTAGGTTTGGTATAGCGCCGCGCACCCCGCTCCCCAGCAGGGCAGGTACCGAGCAAGGAGGTACAAAGGCTGATAGCAATTAATATTGTCTCTGGCAAGATGATTCGCTCGTAATACAGTCGTCACGCGACAGCCTGTAAACATAATGCGAAGTCGCGGGTGCAGACTTGCGGTTATCTGTCCCTGCGACAGCAACCTTATACTTGCTTCCAACCCCCCTTACTCCCGTCGCATTGCCCAAATCAGCCACATGAAGATCTAACATGGCAAACATCTGGACAACCCGTACAGTTCTTCTAACCGGCCTCGTCATCTCCCTCCTCGGCGCCTTCTACATCTACCAGTCTCCCACGCCACTCAACTTCAGTATGCCGCATCCAAGTTCCAGTCGAAGCAGCATACCGGGATTAGAGTTCACACTAAGCCAAATATCTCGCTCTCCGCCTACTCTGCTCGTTGCGCTCAAGAACACCAGTCCGGATACACCGTACACAATCTTGAAGTGGAATACACCGCTTGACGCCTCCGCACTCAATACTGGCGTTTTCACGGTCACCGATGCGGGGAGTGGGGAGGAGGTCCAGCAGACTGTTTTGCAGGTTAATCGCAAGATGCCGCCGCCGCAAGGGTCACTTGTTGCGATTGCGCCTGGGACGGAAGAAGAGATCGAGGTTGTATTCGACAAGCCGTGGATGCCTGAGCGCAAGCCGGCTAAGTACAAGGTCCAAGCAAAGGGGATATGGAAGGGCGTTTGGGGGAAATATGGGGATGAAGTCACGAAGGAAGAGTTATATGCTTATGCCGATAGCCCGTTCAGTGGATGGAGGTTTGCGACGGGTGAGGTGGTCATGGAAGTAGAGTGAAGAGATCAAGACGATAATGTGGGTAGAGTGGCAAAAGATTTTACAGTGTTTGATTCTTCTGTAACGACGGAACTTGTTCCATTTTGACTAGCAGCCTGCTGATAGCCCGACCGCCCAGCAGCTGTTATGTACATTCTTTCTCCTCCATCGTATTTCTATCGCACTTCAGCTTTATACGTGCAATATTCCCATAGTTCAGCCCAGCCAAACCATCATAGGATCTTGCACTGCAGCAATGTCTGCCACAGATACTACTCAACGTCAGTATCCTATCGCGATCGTATTTTCGAGTTCACATACCTTGCTTGGCTTGCCCATGCGTTCTCTTATCGAAATTCGTGACTTGTTTGACGATGTTGATGAGAAGGCTGATGAGCCGTAGGTTGATGAACCGTGAGATGATGTGCGTTCCATCTTGTGTGTGGCGACTAAGTATGCGCGTGTGTATGTATTCGAGTATTTGAAACGGTCAAAAAAGGAAAGACGACTCGATATGTCCAGCAGTAAGGATAGTGGTAGAAGAAGGAATGACTTGATGATACTCCCTCAACTTGACAGCGCAAACCCAGAATATATACTCAAGTACCTACCTAAACCTTCAGCCCAACTCGCCATCAAGTTTGGTTGATCGCCTCTCCCAGACTGCGCCGATCCTCACCTATCGTGTCGCGATACCAATCTACAACCCACCAGCACCAAAATTTCTCTAAACTCTAAACTCTATTCCAACCCTCGGGTCAACAACCCACCCAATAGCAACCGCAACACCCATCCACCGCGCCAACGGCATCACCCGCTAGAACCCGTATTTCGCGCCTTTCCGCCTCCACGCGAACGAAAAAGCAAAAGAGGGACATGCAGATGGGGCCAGGGCCAGCACGTCAAGCTGGAAAATCTGAAACGCGGAGCATGGCGCGCCAACGGCCTACCCCGTCTGTAGTTCGGATTCGGTGCGAGGACCACAACGCGGTTTAGCTTGCGTACATTTGCAGAATGCGAGAGTGGGGATATGCAGGTGTGTCTGAATGGAGAAATAGCTGGTAAGGAATAGTGGGGATGGAAATGTCCGCGGAGGGCGGAAGTTAATCATCAGGATCTTTGGTGATGCGTTGGGGTGTTGCGCGATGCGCGAGGTTTGCGACGACTCGTGTGCAGATGACCCACCGGCATAATTCTTAGTCGGGGAAAACTTCGCACTTTGGGTGAGAATGATCGTATCATTGGAGAAAGAGCGCGCCTTAAACTAAGACTTGGGTCTGACCTTGGTTTGCGCTGATCGTTGGAGATGTACTGAGATGTGGTATGCAAGAAAGTTGCGATGGCTTCGAGTAAGGAAAATGGTTCCATCACATCCATCGCAAGCATATCGAAAGAAATGAGGCTACAGTACCCTGACGCAACCCCATCGAATGCCATCTCAATTCCCATCAAGCCCATAAGCTTGCAATACGCGTTTCGCGACGCCCTCCCCACTCCAATACGCCCCCGTCACCGTCCCCAATGCAACAAACGGCGCGCAATGCTCTCCCGCCAACCAAACACCGCGTTCCGGAACGCCTCTTCGTAACGTCTCCACATCTTCGTCACCCTTCTCAAGCCCTACCTGGAAATTGCAGTAGGAGCCGTACCCGGCGAGTTCGTCATTTGCCCAGGCTGTTGCTAGGATGGCTGTAGGGGTGCAGGAGGGGTCGTTGGGGTTGTAGTTGGGCAGTTTGGTGTAGTAGGGTGCGAAGAAGGAGTCTAGGAGGGGGTTGTGCTTTGTTTGGGGATTAGAGGCGAGGAGTTGCGCGATGTGCAAGCTGGTTGGACCGAAGGTGTAGAAGAGGAGGGTTGGGTGTGCTGAGCCCTCTGGTAAGGCGGCCAGGTTCACGGCTTCTTGGTCCCAGGATTCGGGGTTTGTTTCAGATGCGTGGGTTGGATGTGTCCAGTGTGTGAAGCCTGGGTAGTGAGCTGGATTGACTGGTGAGTCTGTCGCTTGGTGGATGGGCGCTGTCGTTGCTGTTACGTTTGGCTTGCTGAGATCGCGGGACGCGGATGGCGAAGATGAGTCATTGGTGGTGGGCTCATTCCAGAAGGCTTTTGGGAAGCTGATGTACACCTTGTCTAGATGCCCGTACCCTAGACTTCCAACAGCCTCTGTCAGTCTTTTCGGTAATTCTGGAATGAAAGCCCCGAGATTACGCTTTAACCAGCCCAGTGGAGCTGTCATGATGACCTCGTCAAAGGTCATGCTTTGCCGACCTTCAACTTCGACGGTGACGCGTGTATCTTCGGTCTTATCTCCTGATATGATCCGCTGCACTTTATGCTCAAACAGCATCGTCGCGCCTTTCAGTGCCGGCTCAGCAATCTTCTTCAGTACCTTGTCGTACGTGGATGCGACAAAGAGATTCTCGCCATCGATGCATTCTTCAAGCCAGAAGAACTTCAGGCTTTGCCTCTGAACGGGCGAGCCGACGAAAGCGCCCCACATCTCTGCCATTTGGAGAATGGTCTGTTGTTGCTTCTTTGCTTCATCATTGTTATTGGGAAACATCTCTGCGACCTGCTCTTGGAAGTAATCAAACAAGCTTTTGTCCGCTGGTATCGTCGCAGAGGTCTCGTTCGACAACTTCATAGCTCGCTCGATGATGGTCCAGACTTGTTCAGTGTTCTTTGCCGCGTCTTTATCCGACATGTGGTTCCCCTGACTGTCGAAGACTGATTGACGACCATCCCAGTTCATAGTAGTAGTCTTGGTTTCTTTGGCCAAGTCCAGGATGGGGTTGTCATCAGTGCCATGTATCCAATTTGGGCCACTGGAAGAATGGTTAGTCCATGTAAGCTACGGTGAGATTGTGAACTTACAGATCAACCCTGTGACCTAGCTCATCGCTTTGGCATAACTGACAGCTCGTTAGCCTACAAACAACCTGATGCAACTGATTAGACATACCCTCCCACCAACCCGATTCCGGCCCTCCAGTATTGTCACCTTAACGCCCTGCTTCAGTAACAAATCCGCACATCTTAGTCCAGCGACACCAGCGCCCACAACGCAAACATGCGGTATCTTGCCCGCCGCCCTCCGTATCATGTTCGCCTCGTACATGTAGCCGTGATTGTGTGGCGAAGTAGACAGGTCTTTTGATATTCGAGTCTGCCTCTCAGGCGTTGTTCTATCAATCGCGATGTCAGCCCTGCGAACCGCATTCTCGTTGCCAATGTTTCCCATATTGGTGGTGTGCAATCAAAAGCGATACGACTGTATTGAGGAAGGATGAACGGGACCGAGAATGACACGATTTGGAGTAGCCAAGGCTATCTTCGCAAGCAAGGCTGCCAAATCAGTTCCAGCGCAACGTTGTTCCGAGAACGAAAGTACAGTGTGGTTGCCGCGCTAGTGGCAATGCGAAGATCGTGCTGCAGAGTGTACTATGCTGGCTGCAAACCGATAGAACTAGAAAGAAGATAGAGAGAAAGTTTGGAAGAGGTGTTTTCGCTGGCGAGAAGGCTACTATAGAAAAGGTAGACTGGGTGGCACAGTACCTTTAAGCGCGGATAGCCGTTCACGTACCTTGGGATCTTGTCCAGGCTGCAAGAGGAAGCGGCTCATCAAAATCGGTCTTGTGACGGTTTCAAAAGCCAATACGTTGTCTAAGCAATGCCAACGTGATGCTATTATGTTGGAAGTGAGGCGTGTGATAAGATCGCTGTTGTACGCTGTCATGCACGTCAGATCGCGAACGGCAGGCGCGACGCTAACTTTAGTTAGTGCCACGAGGCCGAACCAGGCACATGATTGGACGAAATGGAAGATAAACTTGAGCTCAACGCTGTAGATTTCTATCCGAAGGGTACACTACGAGTATTGTCCTCGTACGTGGTGGCATATCATTGCCGTGGTATCATATCTCATCCATCATCCATTAAGATCGTCCATTCCTCCGCCTTGCACCTATTTGTCCTTGGAGCCGATGTGAAGCTTGTTCTTCATCTTCTCCTTCAAGTGCGACATCTTTCCACCCTTCTCCTCGCCGCTTGGGGATGTAGTCAAATCGGCAGACTCGGACTTGCGACCTGAATGCTCTCCAGTTATACCTGCGGCACCGTCAGTACTACCCCGACTTTGTCCGGGTTCCCGTGTCCACAAACCAGAGGCAGCGTTCTGTTTGGCAGCAGCCGCTTCGAAGTTGCTGCTGTCAGAAGGAACGCCTGTTGATGTCCACTCTGGAGTGTCGCGGTTCGCAGAGGCCTTCTCGGCATCAGTCTTAGTGTCGGTATCAGCGCCACCCGCGTATGTGCTTGAAGCACCGGTTACAGAGTCGGGAGCAGTGGTCTTGATGGCGGGATCAGGGCTGGTAGTTGTGGTTGCCGTGGAACTAGGAGCCGCAGGAGTAACATCGCTGGGACCAGTAGGACCAGCACCTGGCGCACCTGAACGACTGATGTCGTCAAGTGGGGTGTCCTTCCAAAGCTTATCCGTTACTCCAGCCTTGTCCGTGATGCCAGTGGCCTGGGTTGTAGAGGAGGTAGCGCCAGTGTTTGACGTAGCAGCGTCGGGGTTGAGGGGGACGATGGGCATGCCAATGTAGGACGGGTCCTTGCTATCCGAGTAGATCTTGGGGTCGGTCGATGTTTCGGTCATGGTCTCGGTCGGTCCCTTTGTGGTAGGGTCGAGCTTCAGGAACTCATCTGTGCCAGAGGTCTTCTCGGCTGCCTTCTCGGTCGCCTTGGCTGTGCGATACATCAGTATTCTGTTCTACTAGCCGTCATTGTCGTATACTTACCATCGTTGCCCTGGTCAAAGGGCTCTGTCACAGTCCCCTTACCGAGCTCTCCGGAAACTGGCTCTTTGCCCGCAGTCTCGTTGTTCGAGTAGTCGAGGAAAGTTCCCTTATCAGCCGTCGCTAGAGGGGTCGCTTCGGAGCGGGGTCAGCATAGGTCGTCCAATGCGCGAATTCGTGAGGGCTCACCAAGATTGCCCTGGTCATAGGGCTGAGTGACAGTGCCCTGACCCTGCTCACCGGAGATAGGCTCCTTGCCGGCAGTTTCGTTGTTCTTCGTCTGGTCGACTGCCTCGTCCGCCTTGGTCTGGTCGCCGTAGATGAGCTTGGAGGCTGCACCGGCAGCATTGCTTGCGAGGTTGGTGATGGTCTCCATTCTGACTGTGTTTTACAAAGGTCAATTGTAAGAGTAGAGAGTGTGAAGTGGGGGAAACTGGGTATCGTGAGTATGCGCGGAGTCAAAGAGTCCGTGTTGGCGCGTTATGAAGGCAGGCACGCGGGCAGTGACGTAGGTTCCTGCCGTGCCTGCGTTTGTCCCTGTTCTACCCAGGATTAAGCCACAGCCAACATCAACACCAACGGGACAATCTACAGCGAGTGACGATGTGGGGCTCATTTCAAGCGTATACCTTGATTTAACCTCAATCAAGCTCGACAATGCCGCCAACATACCAATCAATCTCATGCACTGCAGCGGCCCGGAGAAGCGTCCAGGCGCTTCCAATGGCTGGCGTGTGCGGGTATCTGGCTTTAGGTCAAGGCGTACCACCCTAGATCTTGGGCTTCGTAATTGTGATCAGCTTGCTGCCCATGCTGGAAACTCGAATCTCGGCCGCGCGGTTTGAAAGCGACGCGGCTGGGTTGACGTCATAGCTGACTGCAAACACATCAAACCTAGGTCTTGGCGCGTTTTCGCGTGTGCCGCGATCATGGCTAACGCTCTTCCCATACAACTCTCTACGCAAGAGTTTCGACGTGTTCACATTGAAGACACACACTTCAGCATGATTAGACGAACTGCCAGCCGACATCGCAATCTTGCCTCCATTGTAGTTCTGTCCCGCTAATCTTCCGTTTCAAATAGACCCCGAACGACCATTCCATCCGTCCACTCAATCTCCTCCATCTGCTCTGAGCGAACCGAGTCCGAGCCTCCATCATGCATACCGAAATGGAAAACAGTAATGCATCTCAATCTATCAACTGCGCATGGCCACTGGTCGGACTGCTCGCGCAAGATCTTGTCTGTATCCCATAGCTCGGGCACACCTGCCTCGAAACGCACCGGAACATCGCCGCGCACCACAGCCTTTATAACGTCGACGAAGTCATCGGCTATAGGAGTTATCCTCTGCATGGTCCCCCGGCGTGTCAGTTCTTCAGCGCCGTCCTGCCACATTGCAGCCTGTCGCATGGCATTGCAGAGAAGCTCACTGGCTCTCTCGTTAGGGCCATGTAAGACCAAGGAGAAAGAACCCGTTGGCAGGTCCATAATCCATGGCATACTTGCTTCGTGTATCCACGTTGCAACATCCCAGAGACAGCGCTCGGCACCATAGGAACGTTCGCGATTAGGGATAAGCACAGTCCCCCAGATGTCGACGCGTCGCTCTATCCGAAGTCTAGGATTCTCGAGCAAATATGGAACAAGCCCGCGTGCGTGGGTCTGGGAGAGTCCTAAGTTCGTGTGGCTCGCGTGGTTCTGGGAGATTCCTAAGCTCGCGTAATTTTCCTGGAGAACAATTTTGCGCACTTGTGCGCGCTTTTTGGGTGTAAGGCGCTCAAGGAATTGAATGGCAGCTGCCGCTGCCGAGAAGTATCTTTTGAATCTCTTGACGCGACCATTACGGCGAGTCCCGAGTTCTGGTGCTGGTGGAACATATTTCGCGACCTCATCAAGGTCCTTTTTCTCCGGAATCCACCAATACGTGGGCCTCCACTCGATAATCTGGTATAGGGTGTCTCTCGTGTATACCGATGGCCGAGAGCGACTTCTGCTCTGGTCGTTGTCATTATCCTCGTCCTCGGATTCGTCTTCGTCATCCGTAACCGGGTCATAGTCCAATGGAGCACTCGTCTTGGCGGATGGATCGTACTCTCCCAAGACGAGGCGCTCGAACGCTGGATGCCTCGCAATAATCTGAATGAGATCCTGAAGTATAGCGTCTTTGATGAGATAATCCAATCTAGACACAGGGTAAAGGCGGCCTTCCTTCAAGCCCGCTCTACCCTCCCTGATAATCGTTTTCTCTAGCTCTTCCACTGCCGTGTTACCTGGATATCTCGATCGCAGCTCTCTCAAGGCTTCTCGTGTGACAAGGGGATATGCATATGACAACATGATCCGGAGACACATGTTGCGCCCTTCCAGGAGACTGCGGTAGAGAAAGGCTGCAGAGCTTGAAGTCTCAGTGCCAGGAATCTGCGGAAGGACGCTGAATCGGAGCGTGTTCGATTCAAACGCCAAACCGTCTATCTCTTGTGCCACTCTTTTGCAGGTGTAGATCAACGCGACATCGATCTTTTCTCCGTTGGCGAGCCGAAACTTCTGGGCCGATGGATCGTAGATATAACCTTGCTCTTGATGTGTGTAGTACTCATAGATTCTATCCCGCAGCTCTCGTGGCAGCCGGAAGAGAAGAGACTGATGTTGATTGTTCATGCTGGGCCCGTCATCATGACGAAGAGGGTCTGCGACATTGGGAGTCTGCGTTGAGAGCATGAAGGCAAGCGAACGGTATCGCAAAGGCCTCCGAATCATGTTGAATCACTATTGTTTGGGGAGAATGGAGTTGATGTGTGAGGAAACGCGCAAGTTGGTACGTGTCAGACTGATCAAGGGCGCCGCGGAGGATGTAAGGGCGGCGCAGCATGATTCCGTTGAGTATGCACAGCACGACTCATGTAGCAGGTCATTGGCTCGTTCGTTTTGATAGCCGAGCTTGTAACCGGCGGATTGTTCCCAGGTTGTCAGATTACTGCCACAACAGTACTGCATTACTTAGTCTACACAATGTCATTTTGTCTCTGCTAAGGGATGATCTGCCCGCCAACACTAGTCCCACACTACAGCGACTCCTCCCCGGCCAAATGTCTCCACCAGTTTATCCTGTCCGCTTAAACTAGCTCCTTGTACGCTTCACGCGCCGCGTGCCAGCCACCATCCGGCTCATCGAAATCCTGAAGACGGAAGACATCGCTGACCTTGCTGGGCCAGTCCCCTACGTGCTCGCTCAAGATCTTCTCTATATCCCATACCTCGCCCATCTCCGCATCGAACCTCGCTGGTATTTCCCCGCGTATCATCTCCTTGATGACGTCCACGAAGTCTTCGGTTATACCTTCAGAGGGAAGGAACCGACGCTGCTCTCGCCGAGCAATTTCAACGGTACCTTCTAGCCATATCGCTGCTCTGACGACAGCATCGCTGAGTTGCTGGCTTGCTTGTTCGGATGGGCCATGGAGGACTAATGTGAAGCACTCGGCAGGCATACCCATTTGATACAAGATCTTGACCTCGTTGATCCACGTGCCAATCATCATTACTATTCCTTTTGCATGGTTATCGAAATGGTTGCTGCTGTACACGAATTCGGTGCGCCAAACATCCACCCTACGCTCAATTCGAACTTTGGGGTTCGCTAGGCAGAAGGGTAGTAGACCCTGACCGTGTATTTTCGGTGATGCTACACTTGGATGGTCCTCCTGGATGACGATCTTGCGTAGTTGCTGGCAGTTCTCTGAAGAAAGCCTTTGGAAAAAGCGAATAGCTACTGTTGCCGCAGAAAAGTACACGTTGGGCACGTAATCGTCGTCAAGATGAGGACGATAAGATGCTGTAGGCCATGGAGGTAGAAACTCTGATATCGCTTCGAGCTCGGCACGAGTGGGTATCGACCATAGTTTAGGCCTCCACTGTAGTATTTCCGTTTGCGTCTTTTTGGAATAGGAAGGTGGCCTGATGATCAAGGGTATATCCAAGGAAGAGTCGTCGCTATCGCTGCCACTGCTGAACGCTTCATCATCGTCGAGGTCGCTATCACCATCGTCAGGGTCGCTTTCATCGTCATCGTGGTTGCTATCGTTATCGTCGTGATTGCTATCATCATCGTCGGAATCGTTGTCGTCATCGTCGGGGCCGTTGTCGTCATCGTCGCTTTCCGTCGCTCTCCGCAATTCGAGGTCGTACTCTTTCGATGTGAGGTGATAGAAATCGGGTAGGGTCGTCATGACTGTAACAAGGTCTGCTAGGATGGATCCGCTGTGGTAGTCATCTAGGCACCACACTTTCAATACGAAGCCATGTTGAAAATCCATGTCGCCCCCCTCTTTAAACGTCTCCACCATCCTTTGTACCGCAAGGCTGTCTGGGTATAGTGATTTTAGGGTAAGCATGACTTCAACCGAGACGGTCGTATGCGCCCACTTCAACATGTGTCGCAGCCGCATTCGATAGTATCTGAGAAGTTCCTCAAACAAGGCCGCGTTCGATCGTGGTTCTCCAGCATCTGATGAATGACGCACCGTGCGGAAAACAATCTCGTTTGTTCTTAACGCCATTCCATCCATCTCTTTCGCGATTCTTTTACACGAGTACAGCAAACTGAGCTTAGCCACGTTACCATTGGCCGCCCGAAGGGTCTCCGAAGTCGGATCATGGCTATATCCACACTCTTCCTGGACGTAGTTCTGATATATCTCGTCGCGTAGTTCTTGGGGAAGAATACGAAATAATGGCGACTGATTCTGATTCATGATCAAGAGCTTTCTCGACTGCATCTCGGCGTGGGAAAGTTAGTGTAAATTGGATAAATGTGCAGCGCGAAGCTTTTGAGAATCGGAAGAGAGTGCGTCTCCCATGGTAGCGGAAGGGCGCTACCAAGGGCGCAAGGACGAAGGCGTACCAAATATCTCTTGGACACAGGAGTTGTGCAGTTGTCTTGTTTGATGATGCTACCGGGTGACTGAGAGTCCCGAGGTCGTTTTGTTCCTTGCGCGCTCATGCGAGCGGATGAAGTTGGCGAAACCATCATCTATTGCTGGCGGCAGTGCACGATGAACGGATTCAAAAGAAGAAAGCAGCTCAGATGGGTGATATATTGCATCATAAAGACTAGGATACTCGAACACAGGGATCGAGATGCCACAAGCTGATCAATGCAAATGACGTCATCGTCAATCAACTTCTTCTTTCATCATCCCTTCAAACAGGTCAACCCCTTCAACCCAACAAGCCTGCCTACTCAACATCATCCTGTAACACGAGCAGTTGAAACCCTTCCATTTGCTCCATCCAGTCGAATTCCACCTCGCTCCTGTCCTTCCACACTCCAAAACGCTCTTCTCGTGCTAGTGTCCATCCTCCCTGTGGCTCTTCCAGATCGCGAATTCGTAGAACATCCCCGAACCACAGAGGCCAAACAGCAGAGTGACGTGCTAAGAGTTCTTGAATATCCCATACTTCGCCCATGTTTGCTTCAAATGTTACTGGGATCTCGCCTCTGATCATAGATTTGATGATCTCTACAAAGCCTCCACCTACATTGTCGGGGAAGTATTGGTTGAATGTGGTTGCTGCCAATATTGTAGAGCCTTCATCCCAAGTTGCTATCTTTACGACAGCATCGAAAATCTGTTGACTTGTTCGAGGCGAAGGGCCGTGCATGGTAAGCTTGAAAGAGCCTGGCGGCATTCCGAGAGAGGCGAGGGTCTTCGTTTCGCTGATCCAAGCTCCAATTTTCATCATCAGGCCTTCTGCCGCGCGGTCATAGATCTCGATATTACCGTGCTCTATGATGATGGCGCGCCAGATGTCGACCTTCCTCTCAATTCTGATCTGGTTGTTGGCAAGGCAGAATGGAATGAGGCCTCTTGCATGATTGATGGAATTTGGCCTGCTGCACTCATCCTCCAGAATGATGATATTGCGAAGATGCTTGAGATTTGATTCATTGAGGCGCTCGAGGAATCGGATGCATGCCGCAGCAGCAGAGAAGTATGATCGATTTCCTCCCCTTATGTGGATCGCGCTGAAAGGCGCAAATCTCTCGTCCTTGGGTATAAATTCGGCAACCTTATCGAGATCGGCTTGCGTGGGAATCCACCACTCATGGGGCTGCCATTCAAGGACTCGTTGTTGCTGTGCCTTTGATGTGTATTCAGTATCCCGGCTATCAATTTCGACACCTCCCGCTATTGGGCGGTAGATCTTCCTCAGGCCAAGATCGAATTCACTTGCGGTCATGAGCCAGAACTCGGGATCAGCAGACATTATGTCCAATAGATCCCTGATAATGTCCAGGGCTTGGGTTGAGTGCGGATCGTAGTCAATGGGAATCGTGTTATCGACGTCCCACAAGTAGCCGTGGCTTAAGCTGCTGCTTAATTCGCCTCTTCGCTGGAATTCGCTCATCTTCCTGACCGTCGTGCTTTCTGGCCAGCGTTCACACAGCTTTTCCATAATCTCGGAAGTGACCAGAGGATATGACCATTCGAGCATTCGCCGGAGTATCGCGTCTCTCCCGGACAGAAGATAGTATTCGTAAATCTCAGAGTTCATGAGCTGATCAGAAACACTGGGAAGATCGAGCGTCGTAGGGAAAGTTATTGTGTTGGTTCTCAAGGCGATACCATCCATCTCTGCAAAGGTCCTTCTGCAGGCATATTGGAGGCTGAGATTGATGCGCTCGCCACTGTCCATTCGGAGTTTCCCAGAGCTAGAGTCGTAGTGATAGCCGTGTGTCTCTTGGGCGTAATACTCGTATATTTCATCTCGTATCTCTCGTGGAAGGCGGAAGAGGGGAGACTGGTGCTGCTCAAATGCATTCGGTGGTGTTGAGTCCGTTGCCATGATCGCGAGGGTTATCAAGAACGAAGTGCTTGCGGTGAAGGTTTGATGACGATATAGGGAAGCGGCCTCGCAAAGGCTTCAAATGGGTGTCGAAATGTGGTGGTCCGGGATACCGAGAGTTTTTACATAAGGAAACGCGGAAGTCGGTACCAGTCATACTAGTCACAAGGGCGCTGCCGAGGGCGCAACGGCGGAGGCGTACCATGGTACCACGAACCCCAAGAGCGGTATGACGAAAGCCGAGTTCTTTGAGTCGCAGAGGGATCTGTGGTGAAAAGACTGCAGCCTTTCATTCGTACTGTCTAGTCCTCCTCTTCAAGTGACAATTCGTGTCCAGCATGCCTAGTCGCAGTCTTCACATATACGTCTTCGCTGAGTGCAGGCCATTCGCCAACATGGTCGTCCAGGAGCTGGTTGATATCCCACACATGTCCCATATCGGCCTCAACTCTTGCAGGCAGCTCGCCTGTAACCATCTTCTTAACACCATCCGCAAAGCCTCTACGCATTGGGTAGACGACATAATCGGAGCTGGGACCTAATCTATGCTCGAGTACAGTGCAGCCCTCGTCCCAAATGGCAAGCTTGATGAGAAGGTCGCTCAGCCGTTGGCTCGCTCGAGGTGTGGGCCCGTGAAGAACCAAGCGAAAGGATTCGGGCGGCATCCCAAGCCTCTTGAGGAACTTGGTTTCAACGAACCAGGGCGCAATTTCCTCGATTCCGTCTTCTAAACCCATGCGCTCGGACAAGAAGTGCTGGTGAAATACGTCTACTCTCCTCTCAATCCGAAGCTTGAGGTTTTCGCAGCAGAAAGGAATAAGGCCTCTAGCGTGAGTTTGCCTATGTGCCTCGCCTATTTCGTTTTCCTGGATGGTAATATTGCGTAGATGCGTCCGAGTGGCTGGTGGCAAGCGCTCTAAGAATCGAATAGTCACCGCGGTAGCCGAATAGTACGTGTCATCCAGATACCACCCTCGGTCAAAGTCCTCTACTATTGCAGGAGGCCGTGGAAGAAATTCGAAGATCGTGTCAAACTCAGCGCGATCCGGCATTCGCCATGGGTCCGGGCGCCATCCAAGCATCAACGCCTGAACCGTCTGATTTGGGTACTCCAGATCTTCGTGTACAATCCTACCATCTGTGCAAAGTCAGAGAACAGCTCAATTTGACTAGCCGAAGCGTGCCTACTGTCGTTTTCTTCAGACTCTCTGGTATACTCTTTGGAAGTCAACCGCCAGAACTCTGGGTGGGTGGATAGGATTTGCAACAAGTCTTGTAGTAGAGTTGTGTGCGCTGTATAGTCTATACTCCAAACTACGCCTTCATTAAACAGTGTACCGGGGCTGAGCCAGTGAATCCTGTCGCCCATCCTGATGAACGCTTTCTCGATCTGCTCCGCCGCGGTACTATCCGGGTGCAGCTCTCGTAGGCGTTGTATAGCTTCGAGTGTAACCAGAGTATAGGACCACTCGAACATACGTCGGAGAGGTCGTTCTCGTTCACAGAGAAGATGATTCCATAAAAGCGCGTTCGAGCATTCGCTGTCAGGTTCGGGTACTTCGAGCTTTGTACGGAATGTAACCCTGTTCACCTGCAGAGCCAGACCCTCCATCTCGGTCGCAGTCTTCTTGCAAGTGTACTGCAAACTTAAATTGATCGGACGTCCGCTAGCCTGTCGAAGCTTGTCAGACGTGGCATCGTGGTGGTAACCGTCTTCCTCAAGAACATAGTAGTGGTAGACCTCATCGCGCAACTCCCGCGGGAGACGGAAGAGGAGGGATTCGTTTTGTTCGTTCATTTTGGTGAGGCGGTGTTGGTGTTTCGAAGCGTCGCGATGAGGAGGGCGGACAGGTGGTGAAAAGACGTCCAAGCGTACGTCTAGTGGCTGTCGTGCGCTGTCGAAGTGTCGGCCGGTAAAGTTTAATCGATGAGCAGTACAAGCCGACGAATTGTAGTGTGTTTCGAAGCAAGAATTTCCCGAAGAACTTTAGATACTGACCGTAGCAATCCCGCTCGCGCAAATTCACCGTCGGTATTGTTGGCTGTGAGGAGTTGAAGTTGCTAGGCGAAGGGCGCGCGCACATCGAAGGGCGGCATCACTCACTAAAGAACGCGCCCTCCATCTCCATTTTTATCTCGCCTATGAGAGAAGATGGGAACTGTACGCGTATACATACAAGATATACATAAGGGTTGAGCGTGTGAAGCTTGAGGAGCGGTGGTTGGGTGTTCGAGAAGTGAGGCGGGCAGTTTGCCGGCGGCAGGCGGCAGTCGGGTTTCAACCACCCAGCCACCCAACCGGTCATCAAGGAAGTAACGAGCACTTGAGTTTGACAGTGACAGCAACGGTTATCGTCACATAATGGTGCAATCGATCGCTTCATCGACGTTCAAACTTTGCCGCCGATTCCATCCGCCTTCCAGAACGAGGTGAAACAAACGGTAAACTTTACTCAAGGCTCTGCGCAATGTGTTGTAACACGGCCTCTTCAGCTTACTCCCAAACTAAGTTACGATCGCAATCAATCTTCTTAGGATGACAGGTTTCAGCAAAATGACGCGAACCTTAGATTCTGCTCCCGTAGTAAGACAGAACCGAGTTTAATAACGACGTACGCTTCATAAAGTCATTGTCCCGCCGCCATGGGCTAGGCGATGTATCTCAACAAAGACGCTATTGCTTTGACATCATGCTCACAACGACAATCGACGGTAGCGACTTTGAAATGATTTTCTTAGGACGCGGACATCTTTCACACGCTAGTGAGGGTAACAATGTGTGCTCTTTGGAGCAGGATGAAGGCAGTGAATGTCTCGACCTCTTTCGGACCCTTTCTACCGTAATTTTGGGTCAGCAGATGTGCAACCGGACCAAAACAAGGCATCTGAGCCTTCATTCATCTATCAGTTCAGTCCAGAATTGCGATCTCGGGCGAACAAAGGTACTTACACTCTACACTCCCAGCTTAACGCTACTTTCCACCTCAGAACCCTCTACCCCCGCAGTCATGGAGGCCACAACCCACCAGCTGTCAACATATCCTCACCTCATTCCCCTGCCTACCTCAGAGACTAACTACCATCGCCGGCAGCCTAAGATCCGGAGTATGTCTGACGTTGACATACAACGACTCCGACGCTCAGACAGTTTTATGAATCACAACTACCATATCAACACAACACCCACGAGGCCTCGTCGCACAATTTCTGGCTCAACTACACCAGAATCCAAATACCGGCCACACCATAGGAAGGGCGAGTTACGATACGACTTCAGATTCGGCAACGGCTTCGAGCCAAAAGAAGACGCACGCCGCAAACATGCTCGACATAGACGGGATCGAAGCAGCGTCTTCACAGTCGCAAGCGCACACACACTATGCTCGATACCTTCGGAGCCGCCAACCCCTACATCGCCTTCGCAATCTTTCCTAGACCTATACTCACCGTCTCTCCCTCCTTCACCAATCAAGGCTTCACATCCGGCATACGCGACAGCATCTCACTGCACCCTGACGCCGCTAGAACTACAAGACTGCATAGCACACGGTCGTTATTGCCGCATCAAGACATTCCTACTCGACCTTCTCCACCTAGATCTCAAGTCCTCGTCTTCTGCCTCTACCCCGAGGACCTCGATGAGGACGAGCTGCAGTCACAAGTTCCACCATGGACGGTGCAAGAGGTGCGACTTACCCGAAGCTATACTCCCGTACATTGATGGCGGATTGCTAACATCGGGTTTCCATTGCAGGGATTTTGGATGTGAAGAATGTAGTGATAAGCATATGTCAGTTCAGGAAGAAGACTGGGTGGAGCGAACACCATCACCGTTGGATATCTCGGATGAAGCACCGCAGATTGATGTAAGTCTCATACCCTCCTCTCTTTTCCCCGGCGTATCACTAACATGACTCTCCTATAGCCAATCGCTTTCATCCCCATCTCCACCACCCGACCCCATCCTCTTGACACCGGCAGCGACTCCGCATCTACATCGACACCGAGCTCTCATTCCAGCTTCTCCTTCTCCCCATCCCTCTTCGAATCCACGCCACTCCCCCAAGACACCCCAACGAGCCCCTCACCGTCAACAAGTCCAATAAACTACTCCCTCCCCATCCCCTACTACCGACCGTCCCGCCCAACAAGTCCAGCAACACCATCCCGTGCCCGCGTCCCATCCGGCTTCACGGGCTTCACCAGATACATATCTCCAAGAAGCTCCGAAATCAAACCCAGCACCTCAGTCATAGGCGAAAATATCCCCGCAACCGCCGTAGCAATGCTGCAAGCCTCGCCGACTACTATCCACATCCGACAACCTCTTTCAAGGCCTGGCACCGCTATTCAGACTACCCCCTCGCCATCACCTTTATCCACTCCAGTAACTGAGATTGGAGACCCACTCGCGGATACACCGACACCCACTCTCTTCATCCGAAGTTCGCACTCACGGCCTTCCCCATCACCATCGCCTCTATCCACACCGGTGACTGAAAGCGAAAACCCGCTTTCGGATATCACGCCCCAACCCTCGCCTACGACGACTATCATCCGCCATTCCCCATCACCTCTATCCACACCAACAACCGAAATCGAGAACCCCCTTTCATGTATCGACGACTTCCCCCTTTCCACCCACTCCTCCCTCCCCACCACCACCACCACCACCACCAGTCCACCCTCCTCCCCAGACTCCCGCACAACAATCCTCCTCCTCCACCGCGCCCTCTCGACCTCAACCTCCACCAGCCAAACAGACACGCACCTAATCCGGACCGCGCGCCTCGTCCTCGGTCTCGCCGTGCAAAGCGCCGCGGGCCGCATCCCAGCCGACATTGCGGAAAAGGTGTCTGCGCAGCTGTTTCCGGAGGAAGGGCAGGAAGTCATGGGGAAAGAGGAGTTTGAGGCGTTTGTAAAGGAAAGTGTGGAGAGGGGGGAGGTTAGTGCGGTGAGGGGAGCGCAGATATTGGAGTTGGTTGGGGCTAGTACTAGTTGGGTAGGGGATGGGGATGACGATGACGATGAGAGTGTGTAGAGTCGAGGTATTTATTTGATTCGAGGCGTCTGGCTGGGGACAGTTAATTATAGTTGTTATGGGAATACCCGGCGTTGTGCTATTAGAGATACCATTAGAAAGTGGGCGCTGGACGCGAAGATACTTTAGAGACTCGAGAAGAATTTATAATATGTTAATATTGACTCGCTAGACCTCCTTCATGACTCGAAGTCGCGCACTTATTCCTCCCAGGACGCCTTATATGATATCTTGATTCATTCCCAAAACTTACTTTCAATCATCACACCTCCTCATTCTCTGCTCATGCAGTCTAAGACTCTTAACATGGCTCGCTGACAAGTGGTCTAGGATAGCGTCGTTCTACTCGTCCTCCATGCCTTCCAGTAGCGTATGCTCGAGAACGTCGCTCAGCGTCACCATGCCCTTGAGCTTGCTGTTTTCGTCGATGACCACGAAGCGGTGGACGCGCGATCTGCGGATCGTGTCGTATAGAGTGGACATGTTGTCGTTGAGCGAACAGGTGAAGATGCCGGGAAAGTCCTGGGCGTTGTTAGAGGAGTGTAAATAATGAGGATGTAGAGACGTACGTCTGAGCGCTTCAGTAGCGCGTCACCCACTGTAAGGTTCAGGTCGTCGTATACACCGCCCTTGATAAGTGCAATGACGTCGACGGCTTCGAAGACGTTCAGCACGGTACCTGTGGATATTAGCCAAGTTTGCCAAAATCCAACACTACCACCTACCGGCTCTGTCCAAGATGGGTACACTTGATATGCTCTTCTTAACAAGCATGTGGATGACGTCCATGACCGGTGTGTCCATCGATGCAGTCGCGAGATCTTCGTATGTACCGACATTGAGCTCCTTCAGCGGCTTCCGCAGCTTCTGTGTTTCCTTGACGTTCACGGCGATGAACTTCAATATGCGGTATTGGGTGATGACGCTAACGACCATGGTTCTACGTGTCTCGTCATCGCTGTCGACAATGGGTATACGCCGGGCGCGCGACTCGAGCATCTTGCGGCATGCTTCGTATACGGGTCGGTCGGGGTGGATGGATATGGTCTCTATGGGTTTGACGCCCAAAGATCTCTCGATGTCTGTCTGTGTGAGCTTGTGTCCGGTATGTGAAGCCGAGCGCTTACCTCGCAGACTGTTCAGGCGGAACTGGTCGACCCGCGCCAAAGCGTCTGGGTTCTGCCAGTAGTACTGGATGACGTTTATATAGTCCGATGTCGTGAGGAGTCCGGCAAAGGTAGATGACTTGGAATCCCATAGCGGCGCTGAGACGATCCCTACATACAGCGTCAGCTCGTGCTTCCATACACAATGTCCGAGCTCACCGTTCTGGTTCAGTATATTCAGACTCTTCTTCACCAGCAGCGCCGTGTCGAAGACTATCAGGCGATAGCTTATAGGAAGGACATCGTAGCTCGTCCTGGCCTTGAGGAAAGCTCTGATGGTTCTCTAGCTCTTGTCAGCTACCGCAGCGACTGTCCGCGATCCAGACTGCATACCAGGCCGTCCAGTTGCTCGCGGTCAACAGCTGAAAGTTGGCGCGGCTGCTCTTTCGGGGGTAGAGGCGCTCGGGACTGTTGGAGTAGGTCCCTCGGCGTCACAAAGGCGGGTCGCGCATCGCTCGGGAGGGCGTTGGTCGTAGAGTCTGCCGTGTCGACGCCCGACATGATTATCGCGTTGCTCCTCGGAGCCGCATGAGCGTGACTCCAGTGATCCAAGCTTCGGGGGTAGATGCAGCGGGAATGGGGGCTAGTAGACGCAGGATTTCTTGAATGCGGTGAAAGTCGGTGCAGGTAGAGGCCCCACGATCGTCATTAGCGCATCGTGGACCTGGAATGTCAATGCGCAAACACGCGGGGCAAACAGATGTAGCATACAACAGACGGCAAACATGTACGTGTGACAAGCTCGTCTTTACTTGCTTTGCTTTGATTACATTGAAGCGCTCAGTTCTGAGATACGGCTAACCTTAGGGAATGCACCCGAAAGAAACCTGGTCCCAAAGGATCCTCAGGTACGCTAGAAATCATACACTGCCGCCATCTGTCCATGAACATTGCACGCCGCCTGCCTTCCAAGATATTCCCCCATTCATAGTATCCATATGCCAAGTCGTGACCCATCCACACTATGCGTCGTGTTTCCTGGCTGCCTTTGCGGCGTCCAAGTTGAGCTCAGGACCGGGCTCAGCCTCGGCCTCCTCCATGATAATTTCCTGCGCCGCTGCTTCGACTGGTATCTCCGGCTCGCCGATTGACTTCTTCGCTTGGGCCACGATGGCGTCTGCCTCGGTGATGCCGCCCTTCATGGTCGACTGGTCACCGTCCACACCCATCGCGGCGTCGTTCTTGCGCTGCCGAAGAGCCTTGTTGTCGAAGCGAACGACCATACAGGAGAGGTTGTCGGTCGAAAAGCGTGCGAGGGCGTAGTCGACGAGCTTCTTGGAGGCTTCTTGCGGATCGTGAACTTGGCGGACTAGGTCAACGGCTTCCTGGTCGGAACAGACATCCCAGAGCTATAGCTGTTAGCAAATGTCATGAATTTGTGACTGCATTACTTACACCATCGCAAGCGAGAATGAGAAACTCGTCCTGCTCGGCCTGAATCACAGTCTCGGTGGTGTACGGGTGTCCGGTGACCAAGTCCTTCATATAGGCATCGCCCAGTGCTCGTGTGACAGCAAGGACGCCGTTAACGCGGTTGTTGAGAATCAAGCCGCCGGCACTAGCAACACGGCGTCCCTCGTTCTCGTCGCTGCCCTTGTGGTCGTAGGAGAGGCGCAGCGCTCGGCCATTGCGGCAGAGGACAATACGCGCATCACCTACGTTGGCGGTGTACAGCACGCGCTGTCGGCTGGCCTCGTTGCGTAATCTCGCCTCGACTTGCTGTTCAGCTGCGGGCTCCACAGCGGAATCGGTAGCCTCGCCGCCTTCGCCTGCATGCTTGATAGCCGATACAGCCGCGGGTGCGAAGAGCACTGAGCCGGTGGACGATTGCGCATTAGGTACTCGGTCCTCCCACCTCAGAACTGCAATGACCGCGGTACAACCACTGTTCTTCAAAGGAAGCTTCTCCAACTGCTGGTCGACGACGGTGAAGGTCTGATCGAGCAGCTCGGGTATCGGAGTGTTGGGGTTCTTCCGGATTGTCTCTTCCAGGATCAGGTGAAGCTTCTTTCCACACCAGTCAGCAGCGAAGGTTCCGGCGTGTCCGTCGAAGATGGCGAAGTATCCGTTGTCTGTCTCAACTACGGCTTGCGACAGAGGGTCCGACTGAGTGGAGCTGGCGTCGGAGATGGCGCGGGCCTTGTCGGCGGCATACGAGGGCGCTGGGGTGCTCAGGAAGTTGTACAGGTATGCGTGGGTATCCTCCATCGTTCGTCTGCACTTCTTGTTCTTATCCTCTGTGACACCGACGCGGAAGGTAGATCGTGGGCCGGGCGCCGACTCGCCAGCCGAGTTGTTGAGGGAGCCCTGGGGGACACTGAGGGCAGCATCCGACTTGCCCAGCTTCTGCATGGGCGTCTGAGGGGCGGTCTTTTCGGTCATGGTGTTGTTGGTCGTGTTGGTGGGAGAAGAGCCGCCGAGGTGCAGCGACTGTTTCGCGCTCGAGAACATGTCGCGGGCACGCGATACGCCACTACTCCGTCGTTTTCTCTCAGTGGGGGCGGAAGCGTCACTGGGCTTGCGATCTATGGAAGCGGAGCCGTTGCTGGTTGTGTTTGTCGGTGCAGCAGCTGCGTTGTCCGCCGCTGGGGCTGCGGGTTTGGGCGCGTCATTGTTGGCAGGGGTGTCGACGGCGGGACTCTCGTCGTCCTTTGCGTTCCCAAACATCTTCGAGAGCAAGCCTCCCTGGGCGCTCCGACGCCTGTTGCCTGCCAGCTTGGAGGATGGCGCTGGCGTTTGGTGACTGGGTAGTGGCGGCGATGCAGATGGGGCGGCCGAGGCGGCGGCGGATTCGCGGATGAGATAAGCGGGGCTCGAGGGACAAGAATGTAGGAAAGATGTAGACGGATGCAAGGGGAGGAGTCGTGGGAGTCGTCGGTGCTAGGTGTAATGACGTCGAGGGTGTATGGCGGGGCGAGCAGCCGGAAATATCAATTGGCGCAAGAGAAGGCTTGACACTGCGAAAAGATGACAAGGCGCGGGCACGTTCCAGGGTTGAGATTGGACGATCGTCGAGATAGCGTGGGCGGATAGGTAGTGAGTGGCAGCGTGCGCAATGGGAACCCGACTGCTTGTTGTGGAAGTGCGGGGATCAATTGCGCAGGTACTCGACTCACGAAGGCGACCCCGCTAGGTACTACCCAGGTGTGAATGGAGGCGACGGCGCAGGCCAAATACACGGTCCTGTGACTCTGCTATATCAACCAAGGCTAGCATAACCAAAGCAAATCCAGGGTTTTGGGCTGCGGATCAGCACGATCTAGGCTCGCGCGCATGCAGACCGGCGCGTACTGTGGAGCCGGCTTGAATTGACTAACATGTCTATGTACAACCGCCGGCCATGACTATCCCGCAACATGGACAGCGGAAATTTGAGATCTTCAGATCTTCATACGCAGATTGCACTGTCTCTTGACGTGATCAAGAATGAACCCTCTATTCAAGCCGCCGGCCTGATATCTAGCATGCTGACACGGAGCCAAGAATGCTGCGCGGGCATGGCCAAGTTGCTTCTGGTACTAGCCCTTCACCTCACCTTCTCAGGCTGTCCAAGCGTGCCTGGAGGTCGTCGTCATCAGGGTCAGCTCCGCCGCCGCCAACAGCCTGCGCCACCCTAGCTTCAGGTACTGCGTTCTTCTGCAGTCCGCTGGGCGTCTCGCCAAGCTATGCGACGTTAGCGATTGCGGTCTTGGTAGTGAGAGAGTACTCACAGCCTGGCCAAGATCGATGCCTATCTCATCCAAGACCTGGTTGACGACGTCTTCGCTCTCTTCTTCATCTTCCATGCCAGTGGCATCATCGATAGCGTCGTCCATCATCTCCTGCCGCTGGTCCATGATGTCGTTCTCCTTCTCAAACTCCATGGCAATGCGTTGGAGCGCGGGCAGGTTCATCTGCCTGTTCATGCTTCCGAGCAGTGCTGCGCATGTTAGACTAGTCTAGCGAAAAGTTGTAGATGTACTCACTTGTCGCGCCCTTCATAGACTGCATCATCTGCTCGTTACTGCGTACGGTCTGCTCGCATTAGCCATGTCCGTTCCTAGTAGGCATACGCCATACCTGTATCCTGAGCGAAATCGCCTGCAGTTGTGTGCGCATCTGGTAGAACTTCTGGATGTATCTTGCGTACGTTAGCCATGTCCTATCAGCAATGCGACAGCGACTCAGCATACCGCCGTGTGCGCACCAGGTCCTTTGCCTGGATGCGCAGAGGCCCCATCTGCCCATTCTTTGCGCTCTTCTTGATATCTGCGACTAGCTTCTTCTCCTGGTTCTCAAGCTTCACGCGCTCGCGGTCTAGCTCTCGCTGCGTCTTCTCGAGTGCGCGCTGGTGTTTCCGCAACCGTTCCGCCGGCGTCATGCGCTTTCCGAAGGCCCATTCTACGATCTTGCAGGGTTGTCAGCATGGGCTATGTATAAGAGCAGGTATACATACGTTCATGATTGCGACTGGATTGGGCGAGGGTTTCGGAGGATCCTGGGGTAGACTTGGAGATGTGGGTGCGGCGGGCAGCGCGATACGACCGACCACTTCGTTCAGATTACAAGACTAGAGGAAGAGACCAGCTCTGAACAGGCGAGTGTTTGTGCAGGAAGAGGCAGAGACGTCAAGTTGCAAAAGTGGCTGCCTTGCCCGATTATGTCATTTGATGTTCGGCCGGGTTGAGGCGTGGAGGGCAAGATACGCAGACGCAGGTATGGCGATGCCGAGCCTCGAGGGAATTATCTACCACTTGCCCACCTTTGAGCAAGCGCAATTCTAGTACACCAATTCACCCAAAGTATTCACGCATTGCACAGCGCCCAGCCAGACGTGCAAAGGTTGTCGTGAAATAGCTGCACACGTGTATGCCGCGGCAGTGCCCTGGTGGGCGTGTAGCTGTCACGACAGCCAATCCCTGCTTGGGTGCGAGGTGGCGTGTGCACACCAACTCTGACGTTGTCTCAGCATATTCTTTCTCGACACCGCCTCTCTCCACAACTTCACACCCGCCCCTCCGCATCTATCACGACATGCGCCCCTCCTCATAGCGCAACCACCCGAACCACCTCGATGAATCCCGATCGACGCAACGGCCGCCCCTCCTCGCCCGGCGAGTCCTCCAGCAGCGGCCGCCGTGGCCAATCCGACGACTTCGTCCCGCGCCGGAATGCTGGACCCGGATACATGACGGTCGGCGGCGGCAGCACCACGAGCGACGCCGCCGCCCGCCTCGTCTCGATGCTCGACGAGGACTCTGGCTACGGCGGAAGTATGCAAGACGGCGAAGGCAGCGGCATGAATTGGCGGTCTAACATTGGCGAAGACAGGCCATCACCGATGCTGTCTGCCGGGTCAGGGAACGCCGAACACGAACGCCAGCGCAGCCATGTCCTGCAACTGCGCTACAACCAGAACAAGAACGCCCTCGGCCGCGCCATTGCTGGCACCATCGAGACGCTGAAGAGTTTCCAAGAGATGAACCTGAAATGGCCGGCCCACTACCCCTCGGTCCAGGTGGCAGAAAAGCAAAAAGCACATCTCCGCAACGAATCACGGCCCGGCCTGCAGCACACACAGTCGGCCATGGGCAACTTCGACCCCGACATGCGCTCCCCCGAACGACCGCGCGGACCCCGCCGAGCGGGCACGACGATTGGAGACGACTTCGGCGAATCGAGCTCAGCCGCCGAACAGAAACGCAAGGAGGAGCCCAGACTGGTCACGCCACAGCTGGCCCACGACTTCTCCGTCCTGAAGTTGGAATTGCGCATGGGAGGCCGGAACCAGACAGACCTGGTACACTCGCTCGAGAAGAACTCGGTTGCCTCTCTCCTCGACGGACAGATCCAGCAGAGCATACGCCACCTCTTCTCTCTCAAAGAGCGTATCGAGGACACATCGAGCAAGGTCCTGGTCACCGGAGATCTCAACGCCGGAAAGTCAACCTTCTGCAACGCCCTCCTCCGACGCAAGGTCCTCCCCGAAGACCAGCAGCCCTGCACAAGCATATTCTGCGAGGTGCTTGACTTCAGAGAGAACGGCGGAGTCGAAGAGGTCCACGCGATTCCCATCGGCTCGACATACAACCGCAACGACGAGAGCACCTATGTTGTATTCGACTTGAAGGACCTTGAGAAGATCGTCATTGACAACGACCACTTCTCACAATGCAAGATCTACGTCAAGGACATCCGGGACGTGGATGAATCTCTTCTCAACAACGGAGTCGTCGACATCGCTCTCATCGACGCCCCGGGTCTGAACGCCGACTCTTTGAAGACAACCGCCGTTTTCGCTCGCCAAGAAGAGATTGACGTTGTCGTCTTCGTCGTTTCTGCCGCCAACCACTTCACCGAGTCCGCCAAGAACTTCATCTTCACCGCTGCGCGAGAGAAGGCATACATGTTCATGGTGGTCAACGGCTTCGACACCATCCGCGATCAGAACCGTTGCCAGGAAATGATCCTGAAGCAAGTCGCCAATCTCAGTCCCGCCACATTCAAGGAGTCCAGCGAACTGGTGCATTTCGTCTCCAGTAACGCCATTCCCATGGGTGGAGGAGGGAGCCCCCCGGATGACGACGGCGATGATGACCCCTCTGACAAAGGAAAGGGCAAGGAAGCAGAGAAGCAGCGCGACTTTGCTGATCTCGAGGCCTCGTTGCGACGTTTCGTATTGGAGAAGAGGGCGCGATCCAAGCTGGCACCCGCCAAGACCTATCTCCTCAACGTGCTAGGAGACATGAACAACCTTGCCACTGTCAACCGCGATGTCTCCCAGAGCGAATTGGACCGTGTCACCAAGGAGATCCAGGCGCTCGAGCCCGAGTTCGAAGAGTCAAAGAAGTCACGGACAGAAGCTGGAGAGGCAGTTGATCGTATGGTCGAAGACACAACATCAGATGTCTATGGCCACACCCGGGACACGCTCAACAACTCTATCGCTAGGGTGGCAGAGCAGGATCTTGGCATCGAATACCCTGGCCTTTTCTCAGCCTACCAGTACGCCGAGGATATCAGAGACTCCATGCTCCACGAGATCACCGAAGCGGTTCGCTTGTGCGAAGAACATGCACGAACCCAAGCGGTACAAGGCTACAACGGCATTAAGAACTTGGGTGTTTTACATCTTGGTAACAACCTGTATGCCGATGTCATGTTCCGCCCAGAGAGGATGTTTAGGAAGTCAGTGCACGCTCTCGCGCGCCAAGTGGACATCGACATCGACCTATGGGACTTCTTCGATGTCGCCAGTCTATGGGAACGACAAGAGAAGGCTGCCGGGGCTGGTATGGCCATGACTGTTGCCGGTGTAGTAGGTGGCAGGTTAGTCGGCGGCGTCGGCTGGCTAGACGGTGCCCTTGGTGCTGCAAAGGTCATGGGTACGAGCAACATGAGGAGACTGATCATTCCCGGTCTCATCGCTGGTGGTAAGCACATCCTTTCGCTGTTATTCGACCTGTACTAACGTCTATAGTTGCTCTCGGAGTATCATACGTCTTGGCTTCCGTGCCCAAGTCGCTACCTCACCGTCTCAGTGCAAAGCTATCTCAACAACTTTCAGCGATCGACTACACACACTCCAACGCCCTTCGCATCAGCTCCGAGGTTCGCCGTGCACTCAAGGGCCCTGCTAACGATGTCCGCATCGGCCTGCAGAGGAACGTCGAGAAGCTCCAGCTGCAGAAGGAGGAGACAACGAAGCTCAAGGCGGAAACCGAAATCGCTCGCAAGTACTTCGGCAACCTCGTCCGCAGCAGCAATGACCTGCGCCAGACGGTCCAGCGTGTTGACCTGGAGGCTGCGCCACCAGCGATTAGCAGCCCGATGCAGTAGATGTTGTTATGCCCTTATGCTATTTGAAAGAGTCACGGCTTACGCGTACGAAGAAAAGGATCAGCATGGAGGCGTTTGCAGGTGTTTAGGATAGGCCATGATGAAGTAATCTTGCCCGCTTTCTCGGTGTACATAGAATTGACCCAATACCCCTCTTGCCCTTTGGCCGAAATCGATAGATAGATACATCCAAACTCTGAACATGTGAAATGATGATAATTGTGAGAGCTACCTTTTGCCAAGCTGTCGTGCGTGGACCCTATACGTTGATAGCAGACACGCGTTAGTCGAGACCTCGGATCTGCGCACGTCATCCGTCCAACGCTACCTACCGTTGCATTCCCGCCTGCCTGCATCCACCCGCTCCATGGCGGCTCATGCACGACCGAAGCCGCCCTGATGGAAACTAGAAGAGACCCCCGATCTTTTCTCTTCTTTATAATCCTGCTGCTGCTCATCAACTCGCCCGAACAGCAACAGCCAACCTTCAATGCGCGCACCCGTTACCGAGAGCTCATCGAGCGCGAATACTACCAACTCGATATCCTGAATCGGACGCGATACGGCGATTTCAACCCAAGGAAGGACAGGTGGCTCAATGTCACTGGGCTGCGGGATGAGGATGGCTTTGCGTGGGACTTGCTGGACCCAGTGAGGCAGAAGGCAAAGGCGCAGTCTGAGCGACTACTGGGAGATGGATGGAAGGGCATGCTGGATGGACCACTGCAGGAGGGGGAAGCTGGCATGCCGGTATACAAGAACCTGTCTGGTTACGTGCAGGGAGAATGGACGCGCTCGCCTCTGAGTCGCATACGGCATCCCAGCGACATGGGCAACGCCTCAGCCATACCCGACGATCCCTTCGGAAACATGGCGGTATACGACAGGAACCTGACTGGTGCAGGTGGACCGTTGCGGATACACGTCACAGAGCTGGAAGATAGAATGCGGAGGAATGCGAACAAGACTATATCTGAGATCAGCGCGAAAGTGGTAATCGGAGACAAAGACAGCTTTGGGGGGAATTGGTGGGAGTTCGTGGCACACGGCGTTCATTTTTTGAAGAGTGGAACTGCTGTTCTGACGACTACGAGTGATCGGTTCGCGGGCATCTTCGCTTTGCCTCATCTGCAGGTTACTCCTTACTTCTACTCGACGTCCCAGGAGTTCCTCAATTGGACGATACGCGAAGCTATAGAACGGCAAGAGAAGAGAGCTTTCCCGAACTGGAACCCCTGGACATCCGCTGCGGAGGGCAACAATGAAGGCATGTTTCAAGGGCACCACTGCGAGTTCGTCTTGTATCTACAAGAGTTTCCAAGTCAATCCAACGTCGACATGGACTGGCTCGAGCACGAGCTCCGCTTTCCTACTGGCGCTCCTATCCCACACGATATCCCTCATGCCATGTCCATGGTGGGCTTCTCTCCAGATTGTGGTTTCGTGATTGAGTCAAAAGGTCCTCCAGACTTCCCCCCATCAGAAGCCATGCACCTGGTTGGATCCAAGACAGAAGATTTCAATGTGCGCGCGAGACACGGCATCCTCGCTTTTGCCATCAGTCTTGCGTTCCAACTTTCCTTCACTCTTAAGCAGATGAAAGAGACCGCAACGCCGTCCATGCGCAGCCGGGTCAGCTTCTATACTATTGCTATGATGGCCCTTGGAGATGGCTTCACATTCTTGATTCTCATCTTCATGTACTTCTTCCTCGGTACGGCACAGTTGGCGCTCTACAGTATTGCGTTCATAGCGCTTTTCTCTGTACTGACCCATCTTCGCTTCTTGATGGATATCTGGTCTGTGCAAGCAGCGGAGAGAGCCCGTCAGGAGCGACAACGAAGTCCAGCAACTACTACTACGACCCCAACTCCGGCTCCTGAGCCTGCAGCTCCAACACCGCCCACCGATGGCGGTTTACCTTTGCCAGCTACTGCCGCTCGACCGCCACGTCCACCTACTCCCATCATCATCGCACCAGACCAGGACGACCCCGACGAAGACCTCACTCCGAGCCCAAATAATACGCCCACTCCAGGCGGCGCTACGACAACGAATGCGAATCCCCGGGCCGAGCTTGGTGCACTGTACAGCCGCTTTTGCCTCATGCTCATCGTTCTGTTCTTTGTAACTATACACTTCGGGACAGCTCGCACGACGTATCGCGCGATTTACTTCGACGTCATCACCTTCATCTACCTCTCGTTCTGGGCACCGCAGATCTACCGGAACATCATGCGCAACTGCCGGCGAGCACTGCGCTGGGACTACGTTGTAGGAACGAGCGTGGCCCGCATCGCACCTGTAGCGTACTTTTACATGAAAGAAGACAACGTACTGTTTTCAAGAACAGACTGGAGAGCAATGGGTTTCCTGGCAGGGTGGGTGTGGATTCAAGTGGTAGTGTTGGTGAGCCAGGAAATGTTAGGTCCACGCTTCTTCATCAGAGACGGATGGGCACCCCCCGCATACGATTACCACCCCATTCTGCGCGAAGACGAAGAAGGCGCAACAATGCCCCTCAACATCACCACCTCCACAGACTCACCCACCACAATCGACGCCTCTGTCCCCGAGAGCGAATCGTCCAAAGCCTCAGGTGAATCCAAATCGAAAGGCAAAAAAGTATTCGACTGCAGTATCTGCGCCAACGACATCGAAGTCCCTGTCATACCCGCAGGCGCTGATGAGAGCAGCGTGGCTGGCATGGGCGGGACGAGTATGATTCTACAGAGAAGGCAGTACATGGTTACGCCTTGTCGGCACATATTCCATACTGGGTGTTTGGAAGGGTGGATGCGATATCGACTTATGTGTCCGAATTGCAGAGAAAGCTTACCGCCGCTGTAGACGAGATAGGTTGAATACAGTAATATTCTTTGCATTTTGCATCAGCATCATCAGGAGAGGATCTTGGGATCAGCATGCATACCTGATGATGTAGGTGACGCATGTCTCACTGTCCGCGTAAACAAGTGGATCTTATACCTGTTAGTGCGAATGCCAGCTCCACTTTCCGCAGTGGCAGCAGCAGCGCAACGGTAACTGCCACAAGCTCCAGGGGTTTGCACGTGGTTCCATGCCAGCGCGCAGTCGCCAAAATGCGACAACTAAAACTAGATACATCGTACATTCACATCGCCACTTTCTATGTCAATTCCGTGTATATCAGTGACTCCAAGGTGTGCGGCAGTTATTATTAGCACGTCTACGCCACAGATCGCCGCTTAGACGCTAGGTTGTAGGGTACAGCATCCTTTACCGGTTCCACAGCTGGGGCTGAGTTGCGCATCACTCGCTTTCTGAGCCCCCGGTCGGCCTCTGCATACGCAAACCGCAACCCTCAGCCTCTCGTTTCCTACATTCGCTTCGTTGCTGCATTGTGTGCTGGCGTTGGTCATATAACAGCGGGTGCCTGAGTTTTTGGATTAACGTGTTCTTCTTGTTCCTCTTTCGTGTTTCCGAGACGCCGAAGGAACCCCTGGACTTACACAAGGCTTGCGCGAGGCTTGTTCCGGAGACGACGAGTCGTCGCACGCCCCCCAGCTTAAGCAAGGCCAAACCCTTCGTCTACCCCACAACTTCATTGTTCGACAGAGTCGACCTCGCCTGTATTGCGCCCTTCGACACGACGTACACCTGCTACTGTTGCGCATCACGTTGTGTACCTTTGCGCCTTCCTAACACCACCACAAGTGCCTGCCCACCATGGCGGCCAACGACTACTACGGCAACACCCAAGGGCAGTCGCATGACAGGAACGATGGGCCTCTGCCACCGATACCCAGCAATCACACGCAACATTCCATTTCGCCCGTCAGCACGCCCTTTGGCGACCGGCCCTACCCAACCCAAACCGCAAGCAGCGGAGCCCTCGGCGGCTACCCCATCGATACATCGTATTCAAATACCTCGTACCAACCTCCCACACAATATAGCTCGACGGCACACATCAACGACCCGTACGCGCGGCAACCAGACCCGTTTGCCGACCAGAACGCAATACCGCTTCAGAACCAACCGAAGATGGATGGCAGCAGTCCGACGCGGTATAACGGTGACCCAGAGTACTATGGCATGGGCGTAGAACCGAGGCGGAGAAAGAGCAAAAAGAAGAAAGGCATGTTTAGTGGACGGGTGACGTGGGTTGTGTATATCCTTACTGCGGTGCAAGTCGGTGTATTCGTGGGAGAACTGATCAAGAATGGTACGTCTGGCGTCTGTCAGTATAGGAAACAGACTAACACCCCCCAGGCATGTTAACAGGCAGCCCCATCCAAACGAAACCCAACTTCAACATCATGATCGGCCCCTCGCCCTACGTCCTCATCAACATGGGCGCGCGCTTCACACCCTGCATGCACAACATCAAGCGCGTCATCGAAGCGCAGCCAGGCCCCGTCGTAGACTGGCCGTGCCCCAACACGACGACCCTCACAGACAACAAATGCACCCTCGCCGAACTCTGCGGCATGGGCAGCGGCGTCCCCGACCAAACCTCCGTCACAGACTTCAAAGACCGCAGCCATGAACCCAACCAATGGTGGCGCTTCATCACACCCATCTTCCTCCACGCAGGACTTATTCACATCGGCTTCAACATGCTCCTCCAGTGGACACTAGGCCGCGACATGGAGAAGGAAATCGGTCCCCTCCGCTTCGCCCTCGTATACTTCTCCGCTGGCATCTTCGGTTTCGTCCTAGGTGGCAACTACGCCCCCGACGGCATTACCTCCGTCGGCGCATCTGGATCCCTTTTCGGCGTCCTCGCTCTCACCATGCTGGATTTACTGTACAACTGGTCTACACGCCGCAGCCCCGTCAAAGACCTCCTCTTCCTCCTCCTCGACATGGCCATCGCTTTCGTCATCGGTCTACTCCCCGGTCTGGATAATTTCTCCCACATCGGCGGCTTCCTCATGGGCATCGTACTGGGTATCTGCATTATCCATTCTCCCGAATCGCTGCGCGCACGCACGGGCCAGAGTGAACCCCCGTATGCGACGGTGGATACGGCACCGCTAGCCCATTCCGCATCGCTCGGTGCGGACGGAGATGAGGGAAGTAAACCAAAGACTAGCAATAGCAAGATTACGGCGTTTGCGAAGCAGCCCGTGGGCTTCTTCAAGGGGAGGAAGCCGCTCTGGTGGGCGTGGTGGCTTGTCCGTGCGGGCGGGCTGGTGGCGGTGTTTATCGGATTTATTCTGCTGCTGCGGAACTTTTACGAGTGGCGGAATACGTGTAGTTGGTGTAAACATTTGAGCTGTTTGGTAAGTCCCCGCTTCTCCCCAGGCACATATTTGGTGCTATACGTTGGAGAGTATGTTATGCTAACGATATCTCAGCCAATTACGACGAACGGAGTCTCATGGTGCGACATGGGAAGCCTCAATCTTACGACGACGGACGCGCCGAGTAAGAGGAGTTTGAATCCAAGTCATTTGCCTAATATGATGGCGGAGATGGCCGTGGGACGGATTATGTAGATGCGGAAAGTGGGTAGCTGAGATAAAGATGAGATGTGAATTTTGTGGTTTACAATCAACGGCCTCTGCATTCAGAATTGATGGAGCATAGATACCAAAGATTCAATTTTCACGTCAACCAAGAAAAACGCTGAACAGGACTGCAGCCTACATTAACCTGAAAGCATACAAGATAGGTGGCCTGGCGTCGGTGTAGGCTACAGACCTGTTTAGGTTTTTTCTTGTATGAGATGCTTTGGAAAACTGCATTTTTGTGTTGCCAAGTTGGGTACATTTTTCTCTACATACCATCATGATTGATCGACCCGGGAGAGCACAGAAAAGCACTCCGATCAGGAGAAATGAAATCTAGTGCCACCGTGATATTGCCATGTGCAATCCACCAGATACCGACTAGTCCCTGAGTTAATCAATCTCGTCTCAGGGTTTTCGTCACCAAAGTCACACACATAAACTCCATCTCATCCCTACCGCACCACCATCACCTCACTTCACCACCGCGATCCCCCGCCCATGCCCCCAATCGTCACACCCTGCCTAACCGGATTCTTCCAATCCGGGGGCGTCGTAACCTCATACTGGAGATAGCTCGCAACCGGCGGCTTGTACAGCTCCATATGGCCCGTCTCCGAGTTCTGGATCATAACAGAACGCGTATTAAGGTGATCAGGCCGAATCTTCTCCTCGACACCCAGGAAGCCCCCAGACATACGGTCGAGGAAGATGGCGAAGTTGTCCGTCTGGTTGATATTGCAGCGGGCACCACGCGACTCGCAGTGCGCCATGAGTGCAGTGGCGTGTTTGAAGTATTTGAGGCACTTGGGGCATTTCATGCGGGTTATGCGGTGATCGCCTAGGATGTGCGTGTTTAGGTCGCTGGGTATGGGGAAAGACTGTCTGGGGAAGGGTTAGCAAGGCAAGAGGGCTAAGGATGGGATGATGGACTTACTCGCAGATGAAGGGACAGAAGTACTTGCTGACGATGGGGTCGTAGAACCGGTCGGGGTTCCAGTCGTCACTCATAGGATCCCAGAAACGATCGCTGAGGAGGTTGGGACCGTGCTCCTTTTCCATGGTTTCGTCGTGGGCGGAGATGGAGAAGTCGCTGGGAGGAGCCTTGGGCTTAGCGTTGGGGAACAGGACAGAGCTTGTTGTTTTGCCCTTGCGGGAGCCCCAGACCTTGGTCTGGCGACTGGATGATTGGGTGTTTGAGCTTTGAACGGCGGAGCCTTCATGGATAGAAGAGCAACTCTGACCTTGATGAGAGTGTCCGGGAAGAGAACCAGTACGTGCAGGATAGCCAGTGACGACAGGAGATCCAACGGCTGTTGAACAATCGGAGTCATTGCCAGCATCTCCGTTAAGAGAGATGCCACCCATCATCGGCGCGATTGCCGCGTCTACGTCCGGAATGGACTTGGCCTGAGAGGGAAGAGGAGGGTACCGGCCATAGAAGACTGGGGGATCCTCATCTTCGGATTTCTCCGGCTTGATCGCCTCGTACTGGACGTCTCCTATCTCATGCTCGTCGTCGAGAGGATCGTCGTCAAGTGAAACCCCAGTCCTCCGAACATCATCGTCGATGGCTGCCTCGTACTTGGACGTCTTCTGCAGGAAGCGAGTCAATTGCTGGCCGTCCTTCAACAAGTCTGTAATCAGATGTTTGTGAACAATGTGGCCTTGAAACTGGGCTGCGGAAATGACGTCGCAGTGGCCGAACTCAAGATGCTCGATGAAGAGGCATGCGCGGTAGAAAGACTTCTGGCAGCCAATGCACGTGAGCTTCTGGTTGACCTTGTGATTGAGCTCAATATGGCGCTTCAGGCCTGACTTGCTCTTGAACTCGTCACCGCAGACACGGCATGCCAGGTTGTGCTCTTCTGGACGCGTGATCTTGTGCATGGCGTAGTCCTCGAAAGTATCGAAGTCTTCATCACACTTGTGACAGTACTCGTGTTCATCAGTGTTCTTCTTATGATTCTTCATGATCTTCTCTGTCTCGAAAGACATGTTGCAGTCTTTGTAGGTACACTTGACGCGTCGGATTGGCTCAAGTGTGGCTGGCATCTTGGCTTCGTGGTCGTGATCGACTCTCGTGAGTTCGTGGGGGTGGTTCTTGGAGGTACGAGCGTGACTCGTTTCTACTATGTGCGGAGTTAGTCAGAAGGCAATCAAAGACCGCGGCATTAGAGCTGCGCTCACCTGCGCGTGCGAACAATGTGGGTTGTCGCCTTGGTTACGCTGGTTTGATGGGCAGCCCTGGGTGTATAGTAGTACCAGTAAAGGTGACGTAAGTGCGCAGCCGTCAAAGCTTCTCTGCTGTGAGGACGAGCAGCGTGCCGCAAGATATGGGTAAAGGATTGTGTGTTGACTGAGCCGTTTCCCAGGTGTGAGAGACGTTTGTTTTGGTCGACCGTGTGCTGAAGGAAGAAATTGGTCGTGGCCGAGCGGATGCAGAAAAGATGGTGGTGTTGGAAGGATGGATTCCTCTAGCTCGAGGTGTTTATGTAGCGAGGGGAAAGCTAGGGGGGTGAGGATGAGTTAGGCAAGCATGGCAGGTGAGGGAGATTATGGGCAAGAGCGGTGGGTTTGCGCTCTCACCTAGGAAGCTGTTCCATAGATCAACAACAACCCCACCATGGACAACAAGCATGGATCCCACGGCAAGAACCGCAGCACTCCAAATACGATGCGACAATTGAATAGAACAAGTAGCAATGACTAGAGGTATTGATACGAAGAATCACAATGACAAGAGACTATACTTGGCATGGATCACATCTTTGGTTGCTATTACGATGCGACTAGAATCGCGAATATGGTAGCCTAGAACTCTGTCAGTAGCCTTCAAAGATACATGAACTATCACATACCATTTGCCCCTCAGCGTGATCTTGGCCCACTCGCCCTTGTCATCCGTCTCCTTCTCTACCTTTGTGCTGAACGAGATCGCACTCATGATGCCATCACCAAACTTCTCGTGCATAACCGCCTTGTACGCCTGTCCATAGTTCTGCACAATCTCGTATAGGCGGTAGATGGTCGGGTCCTTTGGTGGCATGTCGAGCGTGCTGCCTCGGTTAGGGAAGCCTCCAAGCTGCGATTCGAGCAGCCCAGCGTCAATCTCTAGAATTTCAGACAGCTTCTTGATATCCTCAGCGGATGCCATGGCTTGACCGTAAAAGAGAGCGGCGATTGCTACTTCATCGCGCCCGACGTGCTTTGCGATGGCTTCGAAAGATAGGTTCTTCTTCTTCTTTGCTTCGAAGAGGGTCGGGGAGGAGGGAGGCAGGCGCGGGATGAGCTCTTCCTATGCGATTGGTAGCGTCGCCCGACAAACATTCGTTCTCTCCTTACGTTCAAAGTAGCAATTGGGTGTTGCGCCATAGCGATAGGCGTTGAGTGGAAGCAACGGGTAGCTGCGAGAGGGACAGCAGGTCGTACAGATCCAAATGTGCGAGAGGCCAACCTGGCAGAAAGCGCAAGACGAGATGAGAGAGCCATTGCGAAAGATATAGCAGATTGAGGAGACGGCTATGTCAACGATGTTGTGTAACGGCGTGGGCAGATAAGAAGAGGAGCTCTCAAGCAGCCGATGATACAAGGGTACGTCATCCATGTGCGTCCAGGTCTGCCGCATCTCCATGCGGCCCACAAGTTGTGTGGACTCTTGAGCGGGCGCTTTGTACCATCTAGGAAAGCTCTACTACAGTTCTCTTTGGTGTTTGCAATGCGATATCGTGTTTGAACTGCTACCACGACACGTCGCGCAGCATGGCGAAGCTGTCAAAAGAGGGGAAGCTCCGTACATAGTGGGGTACTCCAGGGTAGCGCCGGTACGCGCCTGGCCAGCAGAGACGCACTTCATTGGTGTCTGTTTCACATGTTCAGCTCGCACGCTCGGGCTTCCCTGCATTGCATGTGCTTGGTCCGTCGCGCTGAGATGATGACGCGGGGTCAATTCGGCCTCAAGCTCCAGCTCTGAAGCTCCAGCACACCCCGTCCACTTTACATCCTTCGCGCTGAGTGGCAAACCACCAGAAGCCTCAGTCCGGCACAATGTCTCGCCGAGACGATGATCTGGCATATGGCGACTACCATGGGCAGGAGGGCGACGAGGGAGATCGCGGCCTTATAGGTGACATGGGTCGGCGTTTTGGCTTTGGCAGAAAAGAGGTCAGTACATTCCCTTGAAACGCCATGCGGTCATTGTACGCTCCCTGTGTATCGCGCTGTTGAGGGAGTGGAATTGCCCCACTACCCGGCAGTCATAGCGTCGGGCTGCCTCGTCATTCACTGTCTTCGCGTATCTTGCGTTCCTATTTTACACCGCCTAGCTCGCTGCAGGGACAGGACGCGTATCTAGAAGCTTGTCTTGGATCTACAAATTCCTAACCTTAGCACCACAGAACAACCAGCCCGCCTCTTCATCCTCCAACCAGGGTAGCGGCGGCATGTCGTTCTTCAAGAAGATCCACGACCCTCTCCACGGCTTCGTTTCCGACCTCAAGGATGCCATATCCGGCGATGATAACGCGCAAAAACCCCCGCCGGGTACCTATCAACAACAGGGCCAGCAGGGTGGGCAGGTACAGCCCGGGCAAGAGTACCACCAACAACACCGCTTCTTGAGCTTTGCGCCTGAACGACATGGCAACGAGACCAAGTGGTATGTTGACGGGTGCAGGTAAGTTTTGAGCGGCCAATTAAATATCTGAGTTGGCAATTGACATCCGTAGCTACATGTATGCTGTCTCCATAGCTTTGGAGCGCGCCAAAGAGTCTATCTGGATACTCGACTGGTGGCTCTCTCCCGAGCTGTATCTTCGCCGACCACCCGCCAAGAACCAGCAGTACCGGGTTGACCGATTGCTGCATGCGGCAGCAGAACGCGGCGTCAAGGTCAACATCATCGTGTATAAGGAGGTCACGCAAGCTCTGACTCGTAAGTTTTTGAATCCAACATTACCAGACTATCTTCATTCTCTTTTACCGAGTTCGACGGATAGGTTCACCAAAGGCCTTACGCGGGTCGGCCTAGATGTTATATTCAAAAGTCTTGAAGAGTGGGAAAAGACAGATCCGCTGATTGCCCCTCCTATTACAGTCTCCTCATCTCATACCAAACACCACTTGGAAGACCTCCACCCCAACATTGGTGTCTTCCGTCACCCCGATCATTTGCCAGACGCGGCGGTACTACAGTCTTCTTTCTTCGCATCAATGAAGAATATGTCCTTCACCCCAGCAAAGCTCGCCCAGCTTCCCGGAGACGGCCTAAAGGCCATCTACGGTGCCCACGAGGGTACCGTCATGTACTGGGCTCATCACGAGAAGCTTTGCCTGATTGACGGTCACATCGCATTCATGGGAGGATTGGATCTTTGCTACGGTCGTTGGGACACTAACCAGCACGCAATTGCTGACGCGCATCCCGGCAACATCGACCGAATCGTGTTCCCAGGTCAAGACTTCAACAACGCTCGTATGCTAGGTAAGTCATCGTCGTACTCTGGGACTTCCAGACGGAAGACAGGCGGTCTCTTCCTACGTGAGGCGGTGATATTTGCTGACATTGAGTAGACTTCCAAGACGTGACCCACTGGGAGAACAACAAACTCGACAGGACCCAAAGCTCTCGCATGGGATGGTCTGATGTAGCGCTGTGTCTCTCCGGTCCTGTAGTACAGGATCTTCGTACTCACTTTGCCCAACGTTGGAACTTCATCTATGACGAGAAGTATTCTCACAAATCTTCCAGATACACCAGGTTACCGGACACCGGCAGCGGAGCTCAACAGGCACCCTCGATGCAACAGCGAGGATTGGAAGGCGAAGAAGAGGGTGAACGCGGATTTGGCCGCGAAGAGGAGGGCGAGCGAGGACTGTTCGGACACGGTGCTGGTGGGCATCTTCGCCAAAAGATGCAGAGTAAATTTGAGCAGTACGGTGGCCAAGAGCATGGACAATATGGCCAACAACAGTCGCACGCAGAACACAGCTCTCAGAGGGGTGGGGTGGACTGTCAGATCGCCCGCAGTTCTGCCAAGTGGAGCCACAACCTTGTCACTACTGAGGTCAGTTATGTCTCGGACCAGGAAGAAACCAACTAACGGTCTTCTAGCACTCTATCCAGAACGCTTACTGTGAGATCATCAAAAACAGCAAGCACTTCATCTACATTGAGAACCAGTTCTTCATCACCGCCACTGGAGATCAGCAGAAGCCGATCAAGAACAAGATCGGTGCGGCCATGGTTGAGCGCATCGTTCGTGCTGCACGAAACGGTGAGAAGTACAAGATGATCGTTATGATTCCTGCAGTGCCTGCCTTTGCTGGAGACTTGAAGCTAGACGAGGCATTGGGCACTCGAGCGATCATGGAGTGTAAGTCTGATTCGTCTCTTCCGCATGTGCTATGCTGACGATGATGTCACACAGTCCAGTACGACTCCATCAACCGTGGCGGTCACTCCATCTATGAAGAGATCGCTAGGGCTGGGTTCAACCCGATGGATTACATCCGCTTCTACAACCTTCGCAGTTACGATCGCATCAACTCCAGCTCGGTCATGAAGGAGGCAGAGCAACGTAGCGGTGTCTCTTACAACCAAGCTCAAGAGGGTTACGATGCAGCACACGATAACGCGCGTGGCTACGAAGCCTACCGCCCACCACCCACTCAGGAGTATGGAGTATATGAGATGGACGGCTCCGGTCGTCCTCCCTCTGGACACCAGCAGTATGATGGTGGCCCACAGAGCCAGGGCAGACCCGGCGATTACGACCGCTACCAGCAGGAGGCTGTCAAGATCGGTGGCCGACAAGGCCTTGGCGACGGGCGCTGGGACACTGTCAGCGAGTGCTACATGCTTGGCGGAGAGGACATCCGTCGTGTACCTTGGGAGGGCTCTGCTGAGAACGAGATGGACGCCTTCGTGTCTGAGGAACTGTACATCCACAGCAAGCTTCTCATAGCTGACGATCAGATCGTCATCTGCGGTTCAGCCAACCTCAACGACCGCTCCCAGCTCGGCGACCACGACTCCGAGATTGCAATTATCATCCAAGACCCCAAGACCGTCGATTCATACATGGATGGCCGACCCTACCGCGCATCCGAGTTCGCAGCCAGTCTCCGCAGAGAGCTTTTCAGGAAGCACCTCGGCCTCCTCAAGCCCCAAGACATGGAACGCCCAGACGCCAACTACCAGCCCATCGGCGTCCCCAACCAATACGACTGGGGCTCCCCCGAAGACCTCCAAGTCGCAGACCCCCTCTCCGACGACTTCCAAGCCCTATGGAACTGGCGCGCCCACACCAACACACAAGCCTTTGGCAAAATCTTCCACCCCGTCCCCAGCGACGAAGTCAGGAACTGGAAGCAATACGACGAGTACTACTCTCGTTTCTTCGGCCAGGACCAAAAGGCCAAGGAAAACAAGAAGCCAAGCTTGTACAAGTGGGGCCATGTTGTTGCAGAGAACTTCCCTCAGGGCGAACAGGGTGTCAGGGAGGTTAAGGAGGTGCTGAGTACGATTAAGGGGAATTTGGTGGAGATGCCGTTGCTTTTCTTGAAGGAAGAGGATATTGCGCAGGAGGGGATGGGGCTGAATGCGCTTACTGAGGAGCTTTACACTTAGGTTCGTGGGTAGTATGACGGTCTATGCAATCATGATCAAGTTTGATGAGAATGGTACTCTTGTCTCAACTGAACGCCGAATACAAAGCATTCCGCTCAGTCACACTCCGCGTAGCCATCATGGCCATTGCAGTAAGAAACCACTGTACATCCCGATTGGCTCGTTCCGTAACAAGACCATGTCACATGCAGAAGCGCCGGCAACTCTTCCATAGGGTGAACGCAACGCTGTATATTACTGCCTATTCTATCTTGCTGCATTTGTGAGATGCTACGTCATGAAGGACGTGGTTGGGTCAGCGCCGCATGCGTCGCTTACAACTGGGTCAATATGTTGCCTGTAGCTCTTAGCCGCTACATCTTCCCTTCGCCACCATGTGAGTTACTTTGATTTCTTCTTTCCAACTGTGTCTGCAACTGACATACTTTCGGAGAAGCAGTGAGCGCTGCATCCTTTCAGCACTGAGAACGAAACGATCATGTCCTCGCCAAGGGAACAACTGCCGCTTCCACAGGACGGATCCTCTCAGAGAGAAGACCTGAGCCAAGCTCAACCACATCTAGAGAATACGACACAAGACGAAGACCCCAATAGCAGTAATGGTGTTACCCAACCTGCGCAAGCTCAGACTGGCAGACAACAGCTCAACGCCATGTTCAACTCAGCGAAACACCATGAAGATAGGCACTGCATTGGTTGCATCGGTAAAGACGGGGTCTATAGGGTCATACACTATCTCCCCGGACCGCCGGACCAGATAAGCAACTACGAGATCTATGACGCGAAGCCCATGTCGCCAGAGATGATCAAGGCCTGGCTTGATAGACAGCCGTGGAAACAGGAGACGGAAGACAAGTACCGAGGAGCTGATGGTAGAACAATTCCAGAGGAGTATGTGCGTACACTGAGTATGTAGACATTAGCTGACTCGACGCGATGGCGTTTAGACAGTGGTGGAACCCCCCACCCGGCATGCTGTTTACTATGCGATCGAAGAACGAGCGCGATGAGGAGATGAGGGTCTATCGCGAGGAGCGAAAGGCTAAGGAAGAGAAGATTGCAAGGGGGGAGATTGAAGCGGAGGTGCCTATTGCGTGTAATAGCATCAAGAGTGACTATGATCTCAGCCCTCGCTAGGGTTGGGTCGCGGTTACGAGCGGGGAGTATGAACTGCTGCATACTTTTCGGTCACGAACGAAGTGATGACGAGTTTGATCTTATCCTCGTGGTAGTGTTAGGGTGGTGATTGCCGCTCCGAAACGCACGAGTCAACCTTGGAAGACTCTAGATACCTGGGTAACGCGCAATGACATGTCCGAATGATATGACAAAAGTTCGAGGCTGGGAAAGATAGCGGTGTCAACTACAGCTTGAATGAAGGCACGTTGTTTGCTATAAGTGTAATTGGCGCATGTGGGTGTGTGTCTGTGGCATGGCCCACGGAAGGTTTGAACGCTCGTGCACCAGTCGACATAGGGAAAGGCCGATGCTCGATCGGGCTAATGGCTTGGCGCTGCATCTGGTGATGTCATCTCAGCGCTCCTTTTCTCCTACACGGCCAACCAGCATATCACCAACCTTGGAACTCTACTTTGTACGCTTGTCCGCCGTATCGCGACACTCAGCATCAGTCACAGATACAGTTAAAATTTGGGGCTCATGATGTGTCACTGAGGAGCATGCTTGGTGGTATGAAGGGAAGGTTGTTGATTAATCTATTAGGGTAATTGTACATTTTAACCGGTGCAAGGCATGCTTGCATCCGTGTTGGTGTTGTAGTATCCGCGCGTTTCCTTCCGCCCCTGATCTACAGAGGCTAGCTGTGTGCTTCTGGCAATGCAAACTGACAATGGAGAAGCAGGACAGGAACGGTAGTTGACCAAAGCCAGCTTAGGGAGCAGTGCTATCAGCATTCTTCTGGAAGAGTCGCTTGCGAGGCATGAAGATGCTCAAGACCAGGACAAGAGCGCCACCGGCAATAGTAAGGCTGTAGGTCTTGCTGATGGCACTGACAATGGCAGCAAGAACGCGAGTCTTCAGCTCTGGGGATAGGTTTTGTACGATATCCGATCGAGCACCGAGGATAGCGGCCTGGATATCGGCCGAAGAGACGTCAGTCAAAATGCCCTCGATTCTGTTCTGGCTTTGGTTGAGAAGGATAGCGTTGGCGATGGCTAGAGCAAAGGTGATGCCCACAGACTGAGCCAGAGTGATGAAGCTGATCGCTGGCGCAATATTTTCAAGCTCGACGACTGCCTGGGCAACTGAAAATGGCGCCTGGAGGAACATACCGACTCCAACACCCATCAGGATTGTGAAGCCGTACACGCGAGCCGTAGCAGTGTCCAGATCGATTGTGTACATGAGGGCGGAGCCGATCACGACCAGGGCGCCACCACCAAGGAACCAAGGCATGACGTATCCCAACTTGGACATCAAGCCACCATTGATGAAGACGGTAACGACCATGACGACGATATAAGGGAGTAACCGCACTCCGGCATCGAGGGGACCGTCGCCCTGGGTAAACTGGAAAAAGATTGGGACCATGTAGATGGGCACAAAAGAGCACGCTCCACCGGCAGCGGTGATACTGAAGAGAATGAGCACCATCCGTGATCGGAAGAACTGCACAGGGATGATGCGACGCGCTTCCGTTGTGAGTATGTTCCAATACTGTTGTATGCCCAGAATGATGAACAGAACACCGGATACGACAAACAGTGCGATAACCCGGCCTGAGTCCCACGGATACGAGATACCACCCATGTTGATGGCAACAATGAAAGTTGTCAGCGCGCCGGCCTGCAGTATAGTGCCTGGATAGTCCATGTCGGTAATTCGCGAGCGGAACGAGACACCGGGCCGAGGATCCTTGCTGGGAATGAGGAACAGGTAGACTGGAGCGCACGCCGCGCCGATGAGTAGGTTGATATAGAACGCCCATCGCCATCCCACAGCAGACTCGCTGAAGGCACCTCCGATGACTGGGCCCAGGACGATGCCGAGACCCCAGGTAAAGCCGGTGCCAGAAACGTAGACCGGACGTTCAGACATGGTGGTAGTGCTCGCAATAAGCGTCATGCAGCCGACGTACAGACCAGATCCTCCTAAGCCCGTAATGGCACGGCCGAGAATCATCACGTTCATCGACGGCGCAGCGCCGCAGATGGCGGAGCCAATCTCGAAGATCGCAACATGGAAAATGTAGAGCCACTTGGCATCGAATTGGCCGTAGATGCGTCCCCAAAAAAGAGTGGTTACTGTAGCGCAGAGCAGGAAGCCAACACTCAGCCACGACAGCTGCTGGATGCCGCCGAATTCCTCGACAATGACAGACTGGAGGTCCGCGACAACCGTAGCGTCAAGTGCGTAGAGAAAGGTGGAGAACAGGATAGACACTACAGTCAGGTACCATTTCCAGCCAGAGATGTCGCGCGGAGGCTTCTCCGGTTCCGCTGCATTCCCGAGAGTGCCAAGGGTCGGCTCCGCTGGCTTCTCGTCGTTGATTGAACGCGCGACTGGTGTCGAAGAGGTATTGGAATCCATGAGAAAGAGATAGAAACAGAGGTGTAGGTTGAGTGTGATTTTACTGGCTAGAGTACTGTAAATACATGTTTCTTTCAGATGTTTTGTCCCCCAAATAGAGCAAGCAGCGTCGGGGTTGGTAATGCACAACATGAGAAAGTGCCAAGGACCGTAAAATGTCGGCCGAAAACGTCGGTCATGTAGGTAAGCAGCGGGATTACCAATTTCACCCTTTCACTCCCACGACTCCCACGACTCCCACCCGACGACCAGCAGCGATCGGCTGACTGGCCCGGACAAGCGACAAACATCACGCACCCGATGTCTGACAACAAACCGGGCCCGACATGATGCGGCAGCTGCACAACCTCAAGCAAGAGCATGATGACCGAAATGATGACTGGCGGCTTGTATAATTTGAGAATGCGTTCTCAAAGCATGAGGGACAGTAATTCATCTTGATCAACGCGACACGCGCAGCGCCATCATGTCAACACAAGCAAACGGTATCGGCGTTAAATCCGCTCCTAACTCCGAAACGGTCGACTTGCTCGCCCTTGCTCAACAGGTTACTCAGCATACGCAGGCAATCGCCGACTATTTGGTAGCAAACAAACATGCATCGCCTACGTTTGCGTCAGACTGCATCGACCGCCCAGAAACGATTGAGTACGCTGAGCTTCATGGTAACTTGAAGCGCTCCCTGGAAGACCTCCAATACCTCGTCGAGGGGCCCAAACGACACTTCCGCGCACTTTGCTGCCAGGGCTACGAGCTCGCAGCCATTCAAGTGGCACTGGACTTCGACTTCTTCAGCATAGTTCCCGCGCATGGCAATATCTCGCTGGAAGACTTGGCGAAACACGCAGGTGTTGACCTGGACAGGACCAGCCGGATCGTCCGCCTCCTGATCACCGAGTCCATCTTCCGAGAACCCGCCCATGGCTATGTCGCCCACAGCCCCAGCTCATATCTTCTACACCATGACGAAGAGATTCGTTCGACGGTGCACTACACGTATGTCGGAAATCGCAGCTGTGGTACATTCGTCCGCACACTGACCCTCTTCAATACAGGGTTGATGAGATGCTCAAGGCTGCATCTTCTACAGCTGATAATGTGAAAGCATCGCCGCTTGAGTACAACAGTGCACTCACGCCGTTTACCACTCGACACGGCCTGCCCATCTTCGAGTTCTACGAGAAGGATACCCAGCGTTCCATTCGCTTTGCTAAAGCCATGGCCGGGTGGGCTAAGCGTAAGTCGTCCTCGTACTGAACCCACCTTCCGGCCTAACACTGATGTGCTTCTAGTAAACTTGAACATCAACGTCCTCAAGGAGGCCTTTCCCTGGGGCAACCTTAAGGGCACTGTAGTGGACGTGGGTGGTGGTAGCGGCAAAGTCTCCATCACCCTGGCTGAGCATTTTCCAGCTCTCAATTTTGTGGTGCAAGACTCCGCCGACATGCACCTAGCGGGTCAGTCTTTGCTCACTGATGAGACCAAGAGGCGGGTTTCCTTCATGCAGCACAGCTTCTTCGAGCCGCAGCCGGTGGGCAACGCAGCTGCTTACATCTTGCGGGCGTGCGCGCTCAATTGGTGCGACCAGGACGTTGTCACCATGTTGCGTTCTCTAGTCCCCGGACTCGAACGCTGCGAGCCCAGCACTCCACTGCTCATCAATGACCTAATTCTCCCGGCCCAGAGTTCGGTAACACGCGACTTTGAGCGTGGCCTGCGTCAGATTGACCTCATCATGTTGGTGAGCTTTGGTGGCAAGGTGCGCACTCGGGATGAATTTGAGGCTTTGTTAAAACAAGCGGATGATAGATACGAGGTTCGCAGCTTCCGTCCAGAAGGTCTAATGGGGCTGCTTGAAGTGTACCTGCAACGCTAAGCAAAGCAGTTGCAGGGTCAGGCAGATTCGGTACACATGCGCGTCGCGGTAGTTTAAAATTGAAATATCCACCGCTAAGATTGCTTGCTTGCTTCCGGTGAATCATGTACTGTGGTCCCAGTTAGATATAGTGTGTAACGTTTGACGAAGCCGGTTCAAAAGATCATATTACTGCTGATGACGCGAGTACGCAACCATCAGTATGCAGTCAGCCCTACTGTATACTCATGCATTGATTATTGGATATGAATGCTTTCGGATTTTTTAGACTGCCGCTGTAGTGCATCTTATCTCTAGCCATTCACCATAACGGGCTTGATGTGCGCCTTCCGTCAGCGCCAGTACTTCCGCTGCAATGCGTGCCGTTCCCTTGCCGTTCCCTTGCTTGGCAGGTGCAAGGGTACCGCGCCAGGCCCTGCAGTGACCACAAGAAATACCACCACCCCACACTCGACCTCGATTCTCCGCGCTTGCTGGTCGTTTCTCATCTTTTTCTGTCTCCATGATGCAGAGCACTGGAAAGAAACGCATCGTGTCGTCGTGCATTCCGTGCTACACACGGAAACAAAAGGTGCGACCGTCTTTTGTTGTTCTCACGTGCCTTGAACCACAACTTTGGGCCGGTGAAGGACGTACCAAAACGCACGAGGGCAATTTAGGCTAACTCAGTATCGCTAATATGTAGTGCAACCGTCGCTATCCCTGCGATCATTGTTCTCGTCGCCGACGCCCGGAGGAGTGCGCATACTACCCTTCGCAGGCATTGCAGGCTGATCACACGTCGCTGCGGACCCAGAGAGTAGAGAATCGTGGGAACGAACATGAGCAACTCACCGCGGATGACGATCTCCAGCCGCATGACAGCAATGCCAGTGGGTCTGCCACTAACGCCCTAACGAATTGGAACAACGCAAGACCGCGAAGTTCCACACCTGGCCCAAGCAGCAACTCTGTTGCGGAGTCTTTTGGATACTTCGAGTACAGCGAACGCAATACAATCGCCTTGATTCGTAAGGTAAGTCAATCGCACCTCCAACTGCATGTCAACCTAGGAAAAGACTGGACAGGTCTAAAGCCTACATTAACATGGACACACGCAAAGTGAGTGGCCTAGTGTTGGTGCAAGCTCTAGACCTGTTCCGCTTTCTCCTTGTGTGAGGTGGTTACTGTACCTGAACAAATGAGGCAATCGATCAATTCATCATCCATCTAACAAGCACCGGTATAAACAGCTAGGACTGAATAGCGGCGAACACCACGGCAATCAGGACGTTACCCGAGAGGCGTCCCCGGAGGTCGAACAACAAATGAAAGGATTGCCTGATCGTCAAATCTGCGACTTCTTAGTCCAGTATTATATCGACGAAATTCACTGGTAAGTATCCGCGCGTATTTCCTTCGTCAACCGTACGAAAATCGTAACCATGAGTTGCGAGGAGGAATACTTCATGTCCTTATCCTTGTCACCAAAGGAGGGAAGATTTTGCTAAAGCTGATGTATAAATATAGGAAGGAGCAGCTTGTGCACCCACCATGGTTCTTAGCACAGTATCAACAACTGTGGAGCTTGGGAACTGTGTCATCTGTCTTCTACGTAGAGTTCGTGGCACTGGTCATGCGAATGTGTTCGTACGCATCCCAATTCCTTCCTTCACCGTCACATCCTATCGACCGCATTCGCAGAATGTCTCTGTCTGAGATACGCACATTGTGCGATGATATCGCGGAGAAGCTATCTAGTCTATGTGCGCGACTTGATGCCAGAGGCTCTTTACTACGCGTGCAGCATCTGGCGTTCTTGGGACTGCGACTTCAGTGTGAAGGGCAGAACATGGCTTTCTGGGAAACGCTCAACAAAGCTGCTTTGGTAGCTCAGAGGGCCGGCCTCCATCGAAATCACACAGTTCATATGCCAGAGATGCATGGGCTGGAACAGGAGATGCGACGGAGAGTGTTTTGTAACCTCTACATTTGGGACAGGTACGACGATATCTTACTGTTATCAGTGGAAGTGATCGCATGTCCGTTTTGTTATTCTGACGAGGTCAAACCGTAGTATGCTCTCACGCCAACTCGATCGCATCCCGTTTCTTCCCGCCGCTCTAGATGCGGACAATCTACCGCGAATGCATCTTACACCCATTCTGGACGACGACAATGCTCCAGAAGCATTCTCAGAACGAATGTTGCAGGCTCGCTTGGCCGCTTTCTGGCGGAAATTCCCCTCGACATCGTATACAGAGTATGACGCGACTGCGACCGAGGAAAAGTATGAGCAGTTCTGCTCTGAGTTCCTTGCCAATATGCCTGCCGCGTTCGCTCTTGAGCCAAGCGAGCAGTGGGACGAACAATCGCGACGCTTACCCATTCAGCGGCAGATTCTGCATATCGCCATATACGAGAGTCTATGCCAAAACTATCGTGACTTATTGCTCTGTACAGCTGCTCAAGTTCAAAGACTTCCTGCGTACAAGCAAGTCCTGCTAGCCTCGCAGAAGAAGGCACTAGCGGTGGCAGCACTCAAGGTGCTGGATGGAGTCTCAAAGCTGCACGCGAAGCTGGGAGGGTCTCATACCAGATTTCCGGGCATCATATTACCGACATTCGAAGCTGCAGTAATTCTGGTCGGCGTGTGTGAGGACACCGAGTTCCCGGCTGGTAGGGTAGATGGCCCGTGTCATACATCCAAGATCGACCCTCTCGGGTCAGGCACGCCACATCTCAGTCGTCAACGGTGCATTCAGGCTACTAGCGATGCACTCGGTCGTCTACGCACCCTAGCTGAAGTCAGCGTCATGGCTGAAGAAGGTGCGAATGCGTTGTCCTGCCTTCTGAATGAGAGAAGCGCGTCCAGTTCCACAAGCATGGTGCAGCATATTTCCAGCCTCAGCGCAGAAAACGCATCATCACCACTGGACATCGCAAATCTGATCCAGGCACATCAGCCGACGGGCGACACTTCTTCGTGGCCGGCGTCTGATGCGTCTCCCTCAATTCTGGATGCGGGTGCGCTTAACGATTTCTTGTATAGTCCTCTATCGGACATTGCGCCAAGGTAGAAATGATTGCTATTGGGATAATTATGCTGTATTTACGCGAACAGAGGAATAAATTTGTTTGTCAGTGATACGCGATGATGCGCACCGAGGTCTACCCCTTTTGCGCGATTGTATGGCCTCCCGAGGTCGAGGAATGACGCTCAGTCACGTGTGAGACGGCGTTCCGAAGTCAGCCCGGTCGCCCGCGTCATCAGCAGGCACAGCGCGCAGGAGCAAAGACACGAACGAAGACCATCACCTTTCCATCGAGTACAAGGTACCCATACAATGACCAACTATCTAGACAACTCACAGAGTTCTTCTGCCTCTCAATCGCAGATGACACTGGTCCGCCCGATGGACGATACCGTAGCTAGCCTTCGGGTCAGCCAAGTCGGGAGACACATCCAACAAGTCGAAATTCCAGACCACCAAGCAGACCACTAAGCGCAGCTCCAGATACGCCATTCTTCGCCCCCAGCAGCTGCGAGGGCCCATGCCAAAAGCAATCTGCGGTACCGCGTTTGCGTCGAACTCAACTCCAGCAGCAGCAGAACCCACTTTGTGGATTAGCCAGCGCTCTGGATCAAAAACCCGCATGTCGCTCGTCTCCCGCCATCCTCTCGACTTAACGGCCGTTGCACTACGACGCGCACTCTCCACATCGAAAGCTGGCGCGTGAAAGCCTGGCCCGTTGGCAATCATAACAACATTCGTTCCTTTGGGGATGCGGTGGCCAAGAACTTCCGTGTCGCGCTTGGCCTGCCGGGCGATACTCGTCGCGTGGAGTCTCAGAGTTTCCTCCAGCACGGCTTCAAGATAGGGAACGCGCGACGCGGTCAGTTCTGCGAGTGTCGGGACGCGCTTCTCCGCATGCGCATCGCTGCATGCCTGATGCAGTGCATCCCGCAGCTTTCTCTGCACGTGCTGAAGACGCGTGAGGTAGATGAATGTCCAGGCAAGTGTCGTGCTGGTCGTATGCAGACCAGCTATGAATTGTCCTGCGATCTGAAGCATGATGCTTTAGCTAAGATCCAAACCTGAAAGAGATTTAGGCTATCCATGACTTACCTCGTCCATCATGATAGGATTACCGAAATCGGCCTTCCGGTTCTGCTTCTCAGCGGCCTTCTTTTCACGCACCAGCATGTGCTCGATTGCGGTTCTTGGCTCGTCCGTAGCTTCAAGGCGTTGAAGAGCTCCCTGGATTTGTTCCTTCACAACTTGTCTCTTTACAGCCGTCACTCTCTTATAGCTGGGTGTCTGACGAATGAACCACATCGCGAGTTTGGGCGACATGGCTTTGGTCACAACATCGATCTTGTCGACCGTCTCATACAGCGCGGAGATGAACTCGTGGACTGGAGCCCTTGGAAACCGCACTTCCCCTCTGGGCCCTACTGCCAAACTGGTTGGGGCTATCCGTGACAGTGTCTCGATTTGTGGGCCGAGTGCGGTGTGCTTGAAATGGCGATCGAATACGAATGACAACATCCCATCCAGCGCACTATGATCCAAGTCATCGTTGACATCGAACGCGGAACCGTTGGCGAGCCTTGTCTTGGTATCCCAGAATCTGATGAGATTCATCGTATTATCGAACATGACGGGCCCAACCACGTTATTGAGAAAAGTCGGGCTCATCAGATCCTGCAGCCACGCTCGCGTCGTCCTCCATTGGGGGCCTGTCTTCATTCGCGCATGGAAGTTGTCCATGGGACTCAACCCGTCCGTGATGAAATTCGATCTGTCAAAATCCGGTCGCCGGGTCATGATATCGTACGCTTCGATAGGGTCAGCGAGCAGGACCCAAGACTTTGAGAACGGCTCCACGAAGACCTGACATAGCGGGGCCTGGAGCTTGTTGACCTGCTTGACCAGCCACACATTAAGTTCCCGAGTGACGCTGACTTCACGTAGCATATCTGGTGCATCGCCCAGCAGTCTACGTGCTGAGGTCTGGTTGTAGGGGATTCCTGGGAGTGGTCGAGGGAGGAGGCTGCGATAGATGGCGTACAAAGCTCCAAGGCAAGCGGCGACCCCGAACGAGGTTGACAATAGCCCATGTCCAGAGACGTCAATCGATTGAAGGAATATCATGACTTCAAGAAGCGGTCGCAGCTTGCACAGATTGAAAGATAGGTAGTATTCGGATTCGTGTTCACGGTCTGCAAAGCGTTCCAGTGTTCAAGCCAGACGTCTATCAAATACCGGCTCAACACAGCGGCTTCCATGGGCAAACGCCACCTCGGCACAGCTATCACGATAGCCAATTTGGCACACAACCAACTGCTCAACCGATATCTGCACCGAGAATATATGCTGTTTCGCCCGACGGACTACGGTTCAAGCGACCTGGCTAATCTCTCCTTCGGAAGTACCGCCAGCTGATCGCCGACCACAATACGTACCCCCACCCGCAGCGGTCTATGATGTTGGCGATACTCACCTTTCGAGCTCGTACGCAAGGGATGGCCTTTCTCCCCCGTATGCTCCCCACATCTGTGCAGAAATGCTGATAGTTTGCATAGCCGGTTTCGGCCGAATTTTGACGGCTAGTAAGCTGACGGGATTCAGCTGCGAAGACTGTCTTGGCATGGGCTTATCTCGTTCTTTGGTAATGAGGCCTATCGGCGCAACATCAGCGGATTACACACGATCTTCTGCCCGTTCATGTAGCTGATCGATTGTAGAGACCGGAGTGTGGGTTCCCCGAGAGGCAGCCTTGGAATTGATAGGACCGTTCAACACATATATCCTCTCAAATTGAAGTGCATTGGCTTGCTTGAACCATTGCAATAGTTCAGTATCGTTTTGCTGTTTGTAGCTTCGCACTTTTACAACGACTATTAGACGATTGAAGATGGCTAGATCAGAAGACCCTGAGCCTATGGCGATAGTCGGGATGGGTATGTGATCGAGCAATACCTGTATAACATGAGCTTGTGCTGACGCAGTTCAGGTTGCCGCTGGGCTGGAGGCGTCCGTAATCCTACGGACCTGTGGGAACTTTTGCTAAACAAACGCTCCGGCTACCAGGATTGGGCGGCGCCACGCTTTTCGGCAGAGGGCTTTTATCATCCGAACCCAGAGAGACCAGGCACCACGGCAGCAAAGGGAGGCTACGTGGTGACTGAAGATCCACGACTATTCGATCCATCTTTCTTCGGGATCTCAGGCCTCGAAGCAGAGACTATCGACCCTTCTCAACGTAAGCTACTTGAAGTGGTGTACGAGTCATTGGAGAGCGCAGGCGAGACGTGGGAAAGTGTTAATGGGACACGCACGGGTGTCTATGTCGCCGATATATCCTACGACAACTCGTATGCGCAGACACGTGACTGGGAGTATGCCAGGCCACATGCTACCACAGGGGTGTGTCACAACATCCTCAGCAACCGCATCAACTACGTGTTCAACTTGCGCGGGCCAAGCGTTACGCTGGACAGTGCCTGCACGTCTGCCATGTACGGACTCCATATGGCGATCCAGGCGATCCGGGATGGAGACTGCGACTCGGCGATTGTGGCGACAGCGAACTACATCATGGATCCAAGCATGCAGATCGCCATGGACAAGTTGGGAGCCCTGTCTGGTACATCCATGAGCCATGCGTTTGATGCCGCAGCTGATGGCTACGCTCGTGGAGAGGGCTTCGCAGCTATTTACGTGAAGAAGCCGCAACAGGCCATGCAGCACGGAAATCCGATTCGTGCACTCGTTCGCGGCAGCGCTATTGGCGCCAACGGTCGTTCCAGCGGGATAACGCACCCAAGTGGGACTGCTCAGGAGGACATCATCCGCAAGGCGTACCACAATGCTGGTAAATTGTCTCCTTCCGAAACTCCATTTCTCGAGTGCCACGGGACGGGCACACGGGTCGGCGATCCACTCGAGGTAGAGGCTGCTGGTAAGGTGTTTGGGCCGGGACGATCCAGCTCAGAGGAGGATCGTTTGTTGATTGGATCCGTCAAGACCAATCTTGGGCATACTGAAGGTGCTGCAGCTCTTGCAAGTATCTTCAAAGTCGTACTCGCCCTTGAAGCCGGGGTGATTCCGCCTAGCATCGGTGTGACGACGTTGAACCCCAGGATCGATTTTGACAAGGCCAAAGCGAGGGTCGTTACCGAAGTCATGCCATGGCCAGAAGACAAGCTGCGACGCGCCAGTGTTACGTCTGCTGGATTTGGCGGTTCTATCGGGCACTGCATTCTCGACCACGTGGAAGTCGTATATCCGGACTATGTCAAGCCGGGTATCGTCAACAGAATCAGACCCGTCAATGGGCACGCGAATGGCCATGCGAACGGCTCGACTCACAGCCATGGGAATGGCTTGGCGGTATCTCAGCTCTCTACGCCTCAACCTCCTACGAAAATTAGAAAAGCAGATGTCAGCACACGTGAACTGGTGCTGTTACCTTTCGCTGCTCACAGCGACACTTCCCTCAATGCCAACATAGACGCACTCGCTCGTGTCATCGATAAACATTCACTAGGAGACGTGGCATACACACTCGCAGCGCGACGTTCCAAACTTGCACAACGGACTTTCCGCATCTTTAGCAAACACGACGTTGCGCAGGGACTGGTGAAGAATGTGGAAAAGACCTTCTCAAGTCCGCCCGATGAGTCGCGTCTAGCTTTCGTCTTCACCGGGCAGGGCGCGCAGTGGCATGCCATGGGCGCCCAACTCTTCGACTACAATGTCTTCCGCACGTCAGTCGACTATCTGGACCGTGTACTCGAATCTCTACCTGGAGCGCCGTCCTGGAATATTGCAGAGATACTTTCTGGAAACTGCGAACCGGACCGCGTGCAGATGCCGGATGTCTCGCAGACAGTCTGTACAGCGGTACAGATCGGTCTCGTTGACCTCCTTGCCTCATGGTCTGTCAGCCCTGCAGGTGTCGTGGGACACTCCTCTGGCGAGATGGCAGCTGCTTACGCGGCCGGTCGCATTACTGCCGCTGAAGCGATTGCTGCGAGTTTCTTCCGCGGGCAAGCTGTGGCGCAGAATAAGAAGAAGGGCGTCATGCTGGCTGTCAGTCTAGATCGTGAGCAGGCCAATGAGTACCTTGAGGGGCTCGAGCAATACATCAAGATTGCAGCTGTCAACTCGCCCGGCAGCCTGACGCTCTCTGGAGACGAGGAGGCTGTGAAGCGGCTCGCTACGACCCTCACGCACGACGGCGTCTTCAACCGACTTCTGAAGACGGGTGGAAATGCATATCACTCACATCACATGATTGCGCTTGGCCATGCGTATGAGACACTGCTCACCGATGGCATGGCGTATCTCGAGAAGTCCGGACTGAAAGACCAGCGCCCAAAGTACCCTCATATCCCTTGGTCTTCATCGGTCACTCCTTGGAAGAGTCTTGCAGGAGCGAACCTTCCGGTTTCATACTGGAGAGCCAATCTTGAGTCACCCGTCCAATTCTCAGACGCAGTCGCCAGCTTGGCAGGGCAGGAAGAACTCGATGTCAAGGCGTTCGTGGAAATCGGACCGCACCCGGCGCTAAGAAGCCCGCTTGACCAGATTCTAAAGAGCATCGGCAAGCCACTTCCATATGCGTACGCGTTGAAGCGAGGAGAAGACAATGCAAGATCTTTGCTACAGCTCGCCGGGTCACTATTTGGTCTCAACGCTAAGATCGACTTGGCTGCCGTGAACGCGGTAGATGCAGGTGTTGGGGCGCTAGAACACGGCACTACCGCTATTGATCTTCCGCCATATCAGTTCACGTACGGACCAGTCGCTTACTATGAGAGCCGGGCTAGCAAGGAATATCGTCTTCGTACCATCCCCAGGCATGACCTTATCGGATCTAGGGTAGCTGGCAACGCGAAACTTCGACCGCAATACCGCAACGTGCTACGTTTGAAAGACCTCCCCTGGTTGAGTGATCATCGTCTGCTGCCCAATGTTGTATTCCCGGCTGCTGGATATATGTGTATGGCAATGGTGGCGGCAACGCAGCTCTACCAGGCAACCGAGGACGCACAGCCAATTCTAGGGCACTCACTTCGCAACGTCAATATCAAGTCAGCACTGAACATCCCTGAGGATCAGTATGGTATCGAGATCATGCTCAGCCTGGTGCTTGACGACAAAGCTACTGCACAAGAGCCGGCTTGGGTCGGTTTCTCAGTCAGCTCCGTTACACGTGAAACGGAGCAATGGACGGAACACTGCACCGGAATGGTCAAGGTGGACATCTCTGAGCACTCGCAAGTTGAAACGATGAGTGTAGCTTCCGAATCTCGAACGGTGAATGCGCGCAGCTGGTACAAGAAGTTCGCTGCGATAGGTCTTGGCTACGGCCCTGCGTTCCAAGCCTTGTCTGAGATACGCGCCGACCCGACCAAGAATCATGCCGCTGCCAGACTCAATCTACAGACTACGGCGGGCATGATTAGAGGTGGAGAATCTGAATATGCTATCCATCCCGCCTCATTAGATGCCATGATCCAACTTGGCCTCCTCGCATCCCATGGAGGCCAAACGGACAAAACGACGACAGCATTCGTTCCCATTCACTTGTCTGAGCTGCGTGTCAAGAGTAATATTGACCAAGCATCGGGTACAGCGGTCGCATACGGCGAGTTCAAGGGCCTTCGATCTGCGTACCTCCAGCTACAGCTTCAGGATGAGGCGGGCGATATCCTTGTGGACATTGAGGACCTCCGTTGCGTTAGTTACAGCTTAGAGGCAACGTCTCCAGACAAGACCGGAGCCAGGGGCTTTTCGAGCCCGTTCACACGTATGGTGTACAAGCCAGATTTCGGAAGTCTCCGTAATGAGCAGGCTCGTTTACTATTCCCAGCACCGTCGGAGAATGTCGCTCAAGGACCAGTGCTTGCTCAGCTCGATAGTATGGCGTCGCTCATCGCCATCGACGTGACTGAGACGCTCTTGAA